AAAGTGATACTGTGCTCAGTTGTATCTATGTTCCTGGAAGGAGGCTTGCAGTCAGCTTCTCAGAGGAAATACTTTCAAAAGGAAAAGTTTAATTTTGCCAAGATTCAGATAAGGTCAGAGTAATTGGACAAACCAGGGCTTTGTAGGTTAGAGATGAACACAGCCTGCTCCCTGGGACTGGCAAATGCACTGGGAGAACAGGGAAATGAACTGCATGAGGATGATTACATTTGCTGAAAATCTGAAGTACTGTGTATATCTCTTGGCATATTGTCAAGTGTAGAGTTGCATTTGAGCAGGGTGGGTTTTTTTTACTTTTTTAAATTAAGTAAAATGTATTTATCCTTCCCATTTCTGGATTCTACTTTAACTCACTAAAAAAAGGGTTCACCAAATTAATTTTAGTTGTTTTAATACTATGTATTTATAAATTGCTGTAAAAATTGATTGTAATATGATGCTAATTCACCATAGGTTTTACAAGTACATCTGTAGCACCTTCTCCCTAGCTTCCATGCTTTTCTGTTATGGGGCAATAGGGATTGTACTCCAGCTGTACCCCACTGCTGGCCAAGGGAATGCTCTGACAGGTAGCCACCAGCATTACCCTCTGACATCAGTGACCTTTGCCAGCTTATACTTTAGGTCTGGAGTGATTTTTTTCTCCTGTGTTTTCTTGGCTGCAGAACAGTGAAACCATTTCTTCATTTGCCTGAGGTAGTTTCTGTGAGAGTCTGTGCTCAGTGATTGCACAGCCTTTGCAGGCAGAGAATGAAAGAGGGCAGACTGGGTTTCTTCAGTGGGGTAACTCACATCTAAAATACAGGGAAAAAAACAAAAGGTGATAATTTTGTGGGTCAGCCAGCAAAAGGAAAGCTGCAGATCTCTTCCTTCAGTGGTGGCATACGTGGAGTCTCTTCCTGCTGTCTTTTTGTCTTGTTAGGTTGGCCAAAAGATCAAAAATCCTAGTTAGGAACCAAGGAACAGGAAGCTAGTGCAGTTGGATAGCCTTGATTCCTTAGGAAAGAGAAGAGATAGGATTGTGGGCAGGGACTTTGTACAGATTGCTGTGGCTGAGCTCGGGGGAGGCAGAGACAGACTGTTTTGTCTTTGGGCTAAAGAAAATGGGATGTTTTGCTTTGTAAAAGCAGGATTGGAAGGAGATGATTAAAGGGAAGGGTCCTGAAAAGTCAAGTGAGGTGGTCTTGTCACAGACATCTTTTATGAAAAATCCTTTTTTGAGGATTTTTCTCCTGAGAAGCTGAGAGGCTCAGGAACAAAATGTAAACAAGGATTATCTGCTGTGTGGAATGCAACAGGTAAATCTTTGATTGGCCCATGTTGGTTGTTTCTAATTAATGGCCAATCACAAGCCACAAGCCTTTGTTATCATTCTTTCTTTTTCTATTCTTAGCTGGCCTTCTGATGAAATCCTTTCTTCTATTCTTTTAGTACAGTTTTAATGTAATACATATCATAAAATAATAAATCACCCTTCTGAAACATAAAGTCAAATCCTCATCTCTTCCCTCATCCTAAGACCCCTGTGAACACAGCCACAGTGGTCTAATATAGTTAAATATAAGAACATACCAAAAAATCCAAGTAAAATTGCAGTAGAGGGAGTAAAGTAGGAGCTTTTTTGATGAGGAGTCAGAAGTCAGATTGCATACAGGCATGTGAAAGGTGCTCTGGCATTCCTGTGTGAACGAAAACCAGCAGGAGGAGGGAGTGGAAGAAAGACAAAAAGGCACCTGATTTTTTGAAACATACAGCTTGCATGGGCATGAGCATCATGCAGTAGCATTGCACTTGAGGGAGGTTTGCCAAGCAGACAGATCATGCCTTCTCCCTGCCCTGTCTCACTGGTCACACACAGGAGCAGCTCTGTCCTGGATGTGGGGAGCTGCAGGAAGGAAGTGCTGTGCGTAGGGAATGTCTGGGAGAGCTGGGACAAAGCCCTGGGACACAGAGGAGGCTTTTCCCTCCAGATGGCCAGGCAAAAAGCCACATGAATTACACAGTGAGCTGGCTCCTGCAGCCTGGTGACATTTCCAGGTGGGTTTCTGGGCAGGCAGCACCTGGGCAGTGTCTGGCTGAATCTGTCTGGGCTCTCTGCCTCGGTGCCTGGAGCACAGGAGGAGGAGAAAAGGCTTCTCTCCAGTAGGTGCAGGAGATGACAAGCTTTGCTGGCTTGCTCCACCTAGCTTCTCAGTCAGAGGATGGAGATTTTTTGTTTCTGACAGCCTCATACTGTCCAAATTCATCAAGGACCACTTCAGAGCAGTGGTTTCCCAGCCTGTCTTGGATCTGAGTAAGCATCAGATGTGCACAGTTATGTAGAGAAATGAAGCCTCCTGACAGTAGGTTTGTTTTTCTGCAGTTTTTTTCTGCATTATATGGAAATAATATGGTTTTGGGGTTTGCACCCCAAAATATGGTTTTGGGGTTTTGGGGTGTTGCACCCAGCCTGGCTGTCCATTTTACCAACAAGCCCTAGTATCTTGTGTTATTGAAAAAGAAGTATCTGCACCAAAAAAACCCTTCCCATCAAACACAAAGAAGCCCAGCAGTGTTTCTCATTGTGCTGATTTTAGTCTGAAATACTAAAACTCACTCAAACATGAAGTATTATTTAGGTTACCCTAAATTAGTTTGAAATTACATTGTAACCATGAAAAGTGGTGGGGATTGATTCACTGGCTGTGTGGAGCTGAGAAGAGCCCAGCTGAGGCTCAGGGTTAAGGTCCTACAGATAGCAGTAATGTTGCATAAATAGTGACAGTAATAGAAGATATGAAGAAGTTTAGAGCTCCAGAACCTCTTACAAGTGAAATAAGCAGTGGTTTTGTTTGAGGCTTTCTTCTGACTGGAGTCATACCACTCTTTGAAGTACAAAAACTGTGTGTGTGTGTTTTCCTTCCTCTCTACATTTGAGTGGAGAATGTAAAAATACCAGCATGGTCTTGTTTTGGTAATAGGATTGCATGCAGACATCCTTGTGGTTAAATTGAAAAAAAAAAAAATAAAACCCATGAGATTTCTTGTGAAGGAGTTGTTGTTGGCAAATGGAGTGATTAATGACTGAGACTAGAGATGTACAGACAACAGCAGGATCTTGCTCATAACCTTCTAATGTAACTCCTTAACACTCTCAGGTGAAAATTTTCTTTCCAGAATTGATCTAAAGAAGATTTTTTAAAAAAATGTAATTTCTTATGCTCCCCAGAGGGGAACAGCTGCTCTGTCCCCTTGTGTATGTGGCAAACGAGGAGAGAGAGCTTAACTTATTTAGTAGCACCTGCAAAATCACCCACTGAACATCATCTCTTATGGGATTAGTGCAGTCAAGTTATTTAAGCACACTTCTAGGTAAAGAAACACAGTTCACAGTTCTTTAGAGGTTCACCAGGCATGTATCCTTTAAATATACTGATTTAGGAAGAAAGTTGGAATTTTTTATTTTTAAATTTTTTTTCTCAGCACTATTTTTTTGTCTTCTCTTGCTCATTCCCTCGTGTTTGGTTTTCACAACAGTGCAGAATTCAAGATTTTACTTTCAGCCTTCAAAGTCTACAAACCCTGCCTGGAAAACTGGCATGTTGCTGAGTTTCCTGCCATGACTGCTTTTTAACCAGAATGCAAGTGGAAAAATGTAACCTATTCTAGTGCTCTTGTGGTAGGACCTCTGGAAACAAGGCAAACTATTTAAAGCCTTCTGCTACATATTAAAATTAAAATGTTTCTTTTCTCCTGCTTGTACCTCTCTGTTTTCTCAAGTACTTTTTTGCTTGTCAGTGTTTTTTATTTAACCCTTCTGCCTTGGTCTTCCTCCCCTGTGTCAATTCTTTCTCATTAGGCATTAGAGGGAAGCTGAAGCATGCATGTGTTTGGTTTGGGGTATGTGTCTAATTTGGGGTTTTACCTGTCAGCATTCTCTGTCCCAATTGCTTTGTTCTGCTCCACCTCCCTCTGCAGCCACACCACTAAACTTGGTTTGCACTGCTGCTGACAGCCTTTTATTTTAATTTCTGCTTGTATCAAATCAAAAGCTGTGTCTCTACTCTGTAATGTTTTGCACTTCCCTTTTGGTAGCTGAAACTTCCAACATGACTCCCTGCTATGTGGTTGGAAAGCATGTGTGCAAGGAGAAGAGTTAGGCTGTTTAAATACAGTCACAGCTCACCTGTAAAAATCCTAGGATGACTTCTTAGCCATGGAAATGAATCCTGCTTGGTTCAGAAGCTCATTCACAAATTACTGGTGTGAATTGGTTGTGACTTCAGAGGAACTCTGCTACTCTACTTTCAGATGGAGATCCCCCTCTTGATATTCCCCACTGATGGATGCATTAGTGGATTGTCCTGGCTGTTGAACTGTTCCTTCAGTTTACCTGATGATAGAAAATGCTGCTTCTTCCTAAATTCATCTTCAGTTCCTGACTTGAATATGACTCAGTTGCATTTTAGAAATCTGAAGCAGCATTTTTGGGGGGATGTTTGGGCTTTTTGTTGTTGTTGTTTGTTGGATTTTACTTTAATGGTAGAGTGTTTTCTCCCTTGTGAGTGATTTTAAACTGGTTTTTTTCCCCTCCTGATAAGTCCTGCTAATACTGTAATATTTGAGAGTGGATTGTAATGACATCTAACATTTTGTTCTGTTTGTACTGCAGACTGAGGTCAAGTAAACAAAGAAAGCAATCATTATGTTTTAGCATTCTTTTTTAATGAGCACATTAAAATCTAGTCACAGCTACAGGATCAGCTGTGAAAAGAAGGGAGAGATACAGAGCTCTGAGTAGCACTGTATTTTGGAAGCAGTTTATGGAAAAATAATGGATTGAAGGGATATGGAAGGACTCTGGTAGGAAATAAATGGCACGATGTTGTTGACAGAGAGGGTTTGGCAGGAGGCTTGTTGTGACTGTTTCTGTGGCTTAGAATTGCAGAGGAATTTCCTACAGACTGGACTAACCATTACAAAAATGTGTCTGCTTTTAGGAGATCAAGGCATACAGTGGAGTCTTCTCAGGGAAGATGTCGTCTTTGACAATGAGAAGCCGTTGTATGGACAAAAGAGGAAGTTTCTTTAAGGTAAATGGGATACTTACACAGAGCATAAAATACTTGGGTTTATGTGAAATGAGCACAGCAGAATGTGCAGTACTCTCTGTGGTACATAGTAAGCCTTTTCTGTAAAATACTTCTTGAGCATTTCTTTTTACAGGCAGATTTTTGGCTAAGATCACCCCCCAGTTATTTCACATGTATATTTTTTCTGTACATGGAGTAGAATATTTGGTGTAAAATAGGTCATGGCTTTCTTTGCTGCTAATGCTGAGAACATAAGCTTTATTATGCACAGGCATAAAATTATTGGAGCCTTCATAAACTAGATTTATGTCACTTAAAGTTGTGGTACAGGTTTATGATTTCCATTACTGGATTGAAAATTGATTTCATTTCTTTGCCTATTTTGAGAACAACTGGCATCCCAAAAAGCCAGGCTGCAGCAGAAGTTACCAGTGCAGTTTTCTAAAGATGACTGAATCCTGTTAACTGTGTGCCAGGGTCACAGTGGCTGCCTTGCTGGGCAGGGTTTTGCTTAGGGAGCCATCAAAATTTACAAGTGCTTTTGAGCACTGAATTCAATTATCACATCCCTTAGAATATTCATCACTTGCTGTAGCTTCTTCCAGTGAAAGATGCTGATGCTGCCATCTTTGGGGGTTGCTGTTCCCATTCCTTCTCTTCCTCTGGGGCAGAAGTTTCCCTTGGGGAAATCTTTAGGAAATGAACAGTCAGCACTGCAGTGACATTGTGTTTTCCTTTTGTCTTGCCCAGCAGTTACCAGGGTCATCCAGTGGCAGGAACCACCTCTCAGTTCTGCAACACACTTCAGCTACCTCTCATAACTCAGGAGTACAAACATCAGCCTTGTTGATAGCACTCCACAGCCAAAGAGGGAGAATAGCCCTATTTTCAAATCACAGCAAGGAGCTGTCTCAGTTCCAAGAAATATCTCTAGGTTGTCTCTTGCATGTATGCTGAAGGACTCCTGATGTCATTCTTATGTAGAAAATAGATGCTGGAACAGGTGTTCTGTTCATGATGATGGGGTTGCAGTTACTCTAAATGATTAGAAATGCAGTCTGCAGTCTGCCTGGGCAATTTCAAGAAACATTGTCAATTAGAAAACTAAGGTCCTGCATTTTTTTAAAGACATGCTGGCAGGGAAGAGATGCCTCCAAGCTCCTTTTCCAGCCCTTGGAAGTTGTACTGTTGGACCATGGTTCTGAGCATAGAGTGTGGGATTGGAAGCTGCAGGAAGTCAGTGTGCCCAGCCATTTCTTTTCTGTGTGCAGTGCACCTGGTAGCTTGTGTGTGTGTACAGTGAAATTACCTTTTATTTCCTTCTTCTGCCATGTGAGCAGAATTGTGACAACAGCTACATTTGTTTGCTACAGCTGAGCCGGTGAGCAAGCAAAACACTTGGCACAACAGATTTTTTGAGTTTGCATTATTTTAATTTGCTTTGTCTGACTGTGTTTAGGAGACCTAGTAATCAAGATATGGCCTTTTATCCCTGCTGATCTGTTCTTCAGTATGCTCTCCCACATGGGCAGACTGTCCCCTGTCCTTGCACATGGCTCTCACATTGTGCTTGTTAATTTGCAGTTGCCTAAGAAACCTTTACCACGGTGGTATGCAGATTCTCAGGGCACTTAAATCTTCTTAAGGGAGTATCTTACCATTCTCAGCAACATTTGCCAGAAAAAATTGCTGACAAATACCAGTTGGGAAATTCCAACTTTATCTTTTCTGGTTTTTTAGAAGTTGTAGCAATGAGAACTACTTACCATCTCTTTTTTTTTTTCACAGCCATTGTTTTCACTGTTTTGTCCCCATTTTAGACAGAGAAGAAGTCCCCATTTTTGACAGCATTGTCCCCATTTTAGACAGAGCAGAAGTCTGTAGTTTTAGAGGCTAAATTCTGTGGACTCTACACCTTCTGATTGGTGAATGCTCAGAGCCAACAGTAGTAAGAATGAGGCAATGATGGGGTTAGTCTTGGATAATTCTGGGACTGAATAGCTTGCCAGTGGTTACAGAGAGAGTCTGTGATAAGGCAAGGGGCTGAATATATGTCTCTGACAAATGTCCTCTTTACTGAATTATCCTCCTTCTCATCAAAATGTTCCAGTGTTTACTGAACTGGCATCAGAGGTTTTACATCAGTAAAGCTTTTCTGTTTTACAGCAGTAAGGCTTTTCTGTTTTACACCAGTAAGGCTTTTCTGTTCCAAAATCAAGCATCAGGTAAAACTTTGTTTCTGATGAATAAGATACCGAGCAAGGTCAGTGGCCCTGAGAATTCATAGCTCCCCAGAATCTGCAGACGTGTATCAAAATATTGGATTGCATTCAGAGGCTTGCACAAGTTCAGCAGCAGCGTTCTCAGATGGGCTCGTCTCTGGCACTTGGCCACCTCATCACACAGGGCCCTCTGTGAGGGCTGCTATGTTCTGCTTATCAAAACAGGAAGGAAAAGATGTGATGCCAAAGAGGATGCAGGTCTCCAGAAAGGATGAAAAATGAGATGCTGGCAGGAAGGGGGAGTGGTAAGTGCTGAGGCTCATTTGTCCAGTCTGATTCTAATCTTGCTGTCTTCAACCCGTGTCCCTTTGCCAGATTAGGAGCACCCATCTTACCTTTTCCTCTTGAGTTCTTGTAAATCTCAGGGCTTGGAAACATTCTGCAGTGGTCGTCTTGGCTGACTCTTTTAGTGCCTTCTCAGGATGATGGCAGTTTCATTAATTCTCTGTATGAGCTTATTTACATTTCAGCACAAAGAGCAGGAATTCATTTGTCACGCAGTTTTTTCTAAAAACGTCTGGGAACAGACATCAAATCAAAGCCATCAATCTTCTTCTTGAGAACAGGAAACTCTTCCAGTCCAGTGAGTAATAAGAGCTGTAGTTATGCTGGGTTTCTGGGAGAGGCACTGTCTATATCTGGTCCTGGGCATGTGCTTTCTTTCCCTGATGCACGGCAGTGATGTGCGTGTCAGTAGAGCAGTTTCACAAATGTGATTGGAGCCCCTTGGGAGTGAGTTGCTTCTGGTGAACACACATTTTTGCTGCTTGTAAAACGTCCTGGATGATGCAAAGCACAGTAGATGTTGTGTTACGGTGAGAGAATGCTGGGGTGCTGAGGTGCCATGTTTGTGGGCTGTATGTAGGAGTTTCACTGTCGCCCTTGCCAGCTCCCAGAAGCTGAGCTCAGTCTTGTTGAGCTCTGAATCAATTGACAATAAGCAGAGCGTGGTGCTTTATGAAAGGAAATGCTGTGGTTTAAGATGTTTGCATTTCGTCATTTCGTTCATGGATGTTAGGAATGTAAACAGTTAGTACATGGGTATTTGGCAGTCTGATGTTTAGGATAGATTTGGTTAGGCAACACTGTACTGGGCTGCTGGGTGAATTCATGTTGCCTGAGTCACAATTACTATTTGGGTTTACAGTGGTTATACTGTAGTGTCTTCTGAATTTACAGAACAGTGCTTTATCAGAAATAAATTCCAAAGGAAAAATCACTGCTCACAAAAATAGCTATTTTATCATGTTATATAAAATCTCATTTTAATTTTGTTTTTTATTAAATACTGATTAATTAACCATCTGAGAAGATGTCATATTTCCAAATGCATTTTTCAGGTAAACCTCCCCTTTCTATAGCATAGCAGGGTAATATCTATTTCACAGACCTAAACAGTTCCCAACAGATTTCTTCTGATTACTATTTAAGTCTTTGGGCTCATTTATGCTGTTTTACACTAACAGAGGCCTCTGACAAATATATACATCCACTTCTTCTGCATCTTCTTTTGGAAGTTGCCTCTTACTGTGTTGATTTCAAGTCTGTTGAAACAAAGGGATGAGTTTTCCCATTGTTTCCAGCCAAAGAGGTACCATACTTGTTGCAAATAGAGAGGTGTCTTTGAAGAATTCTGATATTCTTAGCCTTGCACTAAAAAGGCAGAGCCTTCTGCTGCTGCTTGTTTCCTCAGGGCTGGAGCTAATAATAGTACATAGCCAGGATCCTTCCTGTGTTTTGTAGAAACATGCTATTAACAGCTCACCTTGTATGATGCTGGTCACCTGTGCATCACGTGTGCTCTGTAACCACCAGAAGCTTCATTGATCCTAAATACTGGGAAATGCTGTCATAAAGTCATGACTACACCTTACATTTTTTGTAGAAAAATGCTGTTGTAACAGGATGGGTCAGTTAATTGCAAGGATACACAAATGATGTGACTCCATAAGATTTTCTTGAATCTTGTCATTAAAAAGAATTTAAGGAAAATTAGTTGGAAATTGCAGAAGATATTGGTGCTTTATTCTAGAAAAAAATGAGGGGTTTCTTCCTAGAGGTCATTGCTTTGGTTCAAGTGGAGTACATGGTGGTTGGTGATTAGTCTTGGTTGGGTTGTGGTGTGCTCCATCCTGGGGTACTTCACAGGTCAGTTTGGGGTTTGATGCCACACTTTGACCTGATTTCCTTGTCCAGAGTGTATTGACTTTTCAGAGACTGAGGCTCATTTGTCATGGAGGCTATGTAGCATACCCAAGAAATTTAGCCTGTAGAATAGAATGTGAGCATAAGGCTGCTTGAAATGTGCCATTTTGTTGAAGTCTTCTTTAGGGAAAGAAGCAAAGTTGCTAAACATGGAAGAATTCCTCTCAGGAATAATTTCTCTTCAGAGTTCTCTTCAAGGCAGGCATACAAATTCAAAAGCATTAAGATTACTTCACTGTTAGCACAGTTTGGATGAGAGTTCTTTGCTGTAGCTCCCTGAGATTTTGTTTTCTGGGAGGGAGATGGGTTTTGTCACAGCTCAGGTCAAAGCCCACTAACAGAGTTAACTCAGTTGCCAGCCAGGTAGTGACACAGCAAAGCAGGCATGGAGGAAGTGGCTGAAAATACATGTGGAGAGCTCATACATTGTATGCTTTGCAGGGAGGGGTGCTGAAAAGCTCCTTTGTTGTGCAGACTGTTGGCCTTCAAGACACTTAGTCTCTGCTGGTGTGTCAGAGAACAGGGCACACCGCAGTGATGGCTCTTTATGGCCACAGTTGGTCTTAGATGCAAAGATTTGTGGTGATGCTGCCCATGAAGAGGAGCTCCTTATGCAGAGCTGGTTCATGGGGAGCAGCAGCTCAGCTTTCATGCAGTCACCAGCTGAAGTAGCTTTGCCAGGATGCTTTGCTGGCAATGCAGAAATTCAGCCCACTCTGGCTGCTCCCTGAGGCTGGCCTGTGCTCCTCCAGCTGCCCCTTGGAACAGTCAGGGAGGAACTGCTCACATCTGGCTGCAGTGACTCAGGGTTCTTTGGGAACCAGCAGGTGCAATGTCTTTGCAGTGTCAGTGGTACACATGGCTGGTGTCATCGAAACTACAGGAAATACAAAAACTCTCCAACAACAATCTTTAGTGCTAGAGAATTAAGGCATTACTTTATTCTTGCCAGGGTGTTGTTCTGGCCAGGATGTGCAACAGAAACCAGTTCATCCACTCCTTGCCCTGGCTGTGCAGAGAAAATCATTCCATCACACAAGTCTTTATTAGATTTTTCACATTCGTCAAAACCCAGAGAAATTCATTGGTCCAATGTTCACTGCTCCCATGATCTTAGTATTTGGTTTTCTATTGATTATTGGTTTGCCTTTAATATTGATTAGTTTCTCATTCTTCATTCTCTTGTCTATCTCTTTGCTGACCAGGAGTCTTGGACCATTCCAGGGGTGATGTTTGGAGCTGACTTTGGTTAATGGTTGTTACCTTTTGTGTATCTTCTTTTTGTGTGCTGCTCCCAGTCTGCTGAGATGTTAAGCTCATCACACCTTGTGGTGGAACAGTCCTTTGAAAAGAAACTTCAATTCCTTTCTCCCTGACTAAAGTTATATTAAAAAATGCTAAACCTCATATAATTTCCAGCACTGGGAACTATGACTTGGACAGAAGAAAACCCTTGGGGTGTGGGTAATGGTAATTCATTCTTACATAAGGTTCAGTTATTGATGTTGGCCAGTTGTAAGCAGAGACTAAAACTTCTTCTGAATTGATTGGAATAATGGTGCTCAGCAAAGGAGAGTGTGAGAGTGTGAATTCCTGAGGTGGAGGAAAAATTCCAATGTAACAATTTAGGAAAATGATGCCTGCAATTCTTTGAAAATGCTGTTGTACTGAGTTGCCTGCCCTGAGTGGGACTCAGGCTCATACCTTCAGGGCAGCTGTGAAGACTGTTCTGACTTGGACCTCAAAGCTGATTTTGCTTCATATGCCAGGGTTTTTGTTTTTTTTGTTCTGATGTGCAGGGGTGGTGGTAGAGATTGCTACATCACTGCAAACCTTTTATTGAGTTCCCTCCTGGCAGGAGAGAGGGAACCCTTCTAGGGTTTATAGGCTCTCATGGTGTGGCATGACAAGCAAACTTGATGCATTGGCTACAAAGAAGTGTTCAAGAGAGCAGGCTTTGCAAATTTCATGGTTGGTTTCTGCTCAATAAAATGTTTCCCTAAAGTCTGGCTAGCAAATTCTGCATTTCTCAGGATACAACCTCAGTGCTAATCTTGCCTACCTTAAAATGGGTTTTTACCCTCATACCCAGAATTTTGGTTGGTGTTCTACCTGAAGGATTGCAAGGCAATTCTTTTTTAATTGAATTGTTGTGTTCAAGTGGAGTCCAAAACCTAATGTGAAAAGCAGGCACCCACTCCCTTCTTGCTCCCTTCTTGCTTCATTGCTTTTCATCCTCCATGGTATCATAATTCTTAGTCTCCCTTCTGAAATAAAACTCTTGCACATGGAATTCTTCTAATTTTTTTTTTTTTTGAGAAGGTAAATGCTACAAACAGCTAAATAATTTAGTTCTTGGAAGATGTTGTATAATGCACAACTGCAAATTCAGTTGTGTAGGCTGCAAATTCAATCCATTTAAATTAAAAGGCTAGCCAAACTGGAAAGTTTTGTACTGGCACAGAACAGGAATTACTCTTCCTCTGAGAACCTTTAAATGTGGCCCCAACCCTTACTTGTTCCTTTGCAAGGGGAAGTCCAAATAGGATGCGATTTTACAAAAAAAGAAAAAGTTTGTAATCTCTGGTGACTAAACTTGCCCTGGCTTCTTTTCCACGCCTCTTCCACTCACTTGATGTCATACTATTTTTGTCCCTTTCTAGCTCATTGACACAATTGCCTCAGAAATCGGAGAACTGAAACAGGAGATGGTACAGACAGATCTCCCAGTGGAAGATGAAGCTGCTGATTGGCAAAGGTGATTAAAATGTTTATTTTCATGGTTCTGGAGAGTCTACCACAACAGGAATGTTTTCACTGTGCTTTCTTCTTGGGTGGCTTATGTCCTAGCACTTTTCTCCCTGGCAGCATAGGAGCTGTAGATAATCTTGCTCTTTATCCAAGGAATTTGCCTTTGTGCAGGAGATTCAGTTGTTTGGTGTAGTTGCCTTAATATCTTCTAATTGCAACTGAGCTTCACTTCCTTGTTAAAAACTTTGGATACTGATGAATGTCTAAAGCAGGAAATTACTACCATTATTATCATTGTCTGTGGAACAGCCTTGCTTTCATGCTGAAAAGACAAAATGTGCATTGCTTCAAGTGGCTCTTTGAAGATTCAAGATACAGTAACATGACTTATTTATGCTCTCAGGTTAGGAAGTAAAATATTGACTGCTATGAGCTGATGCATATGTGGGTTATGTGTTTAAGTTAATTTATATATGAGTAACTTGCACATAAAAAAATAAAATTGTACCTTTAAGTGTGCAGAATGGGACCCCAGCATTTTGGCTTTTCTTGAACAGTTACATCTGCTAAACATCTGGAGGATAATCAATATTTTAGTCCTTGTGTTAACAAGAGAACATTTTTGTACTTACCTGAAATATTTGTTACAAGAGGAAAGCAACCAGTGGTAGGTGTTGTGTTTTATCTGACTGCATGGCCTTGGCCAGCCCTGGAGCTGGTGGGCTTTGTTCTTCTAGCAGTGAGTTAATGAAGTGGAAAATTGTTTTTAGAATTACATCCAAGATTTTTAGCTCTTTTTCTTCCTGTGAATTCTGTTGAAATCTGCTGGAATTTACAACAAAGCACATGTAGATTATTTTCAGAAACATTAAGCAGCAGCTTTGTTGGCCAAGTAGTAAAGAATGTAAGACAGTTGAACTAATTAAAGTTCTTGGCTATGGCCCTGGTTGAACATTACTCAAGTTTTAGAGCTTTTGAGAGTTCTTTTAGAGGGACAGAAAGGATGCTTTCTTTATTTTGAGAATTCAGCTAATTAACTCCAGAGATCATCAGCTACATTTCAGTTAAGAAAAGACTTCTTGTATCTTTGAATACATCATATGCATGAAAGGCTAAGGTCTGCTGATTCTAAAATCTTGGTGGAAGCACTTAGCTGGAAACAGTCAACTAAACCTCCCCATTTTACAGATCATGAATTTTTAATTGTTTTTTTAATGGATTTTTAATCTTAATTTGTTAATCTTGACTACAAAACATATTTTGGTTTAAGATAAAGCAAACCTAACATAAAAAAAGAATAATGCAATTTCATGAAAAATAATAATAGCCATCAAAAATTTATTTTCTGTCACTTCAAGATGATAATGTGAAATATGAAGTCTGAATAAATGAGCTAAAGTCAAACCTTACTGTGACCACAAAATTCTGAACTGCATGCTTCTGTGTAAGGAAAAAGTTGTATCAAAGTTGGTAAGTTAAGTAATTTAGTGCACTGACACCTTTTTTTAATATAGTTCTACAGAGCAGGATTGTAGTAATTTCAACAAGAGTTTTCCAGAGTTGTTGTTTAAACTAGGCACCTCACAAGGCTGTGTTTACTGTCATAACTTTAATTTCTTTGTGGTTAATTTAAAACCTGGCAGTTAATGGAATTTTCTCTTCTTATTGCTTTCTGCTGTTCAGAACTTGGTGTCTAGAATTGACCTTTGTATTTGCATCTAGGGATATTTGAGCTCAATGGAATGTCCATTTTCCTCACTCTTCTTCCACCTTAGCAGGTGTCCACAGACACCCAGAGCAGTTCTGGAAAGGCATTGCAGAGCTCTCAGCTGAGTTCAGAAAGATAGGGACATGAAATTGTGTGTCTGCAGCCTTAGTATTGTGGTTTGCGCTTTTTTTGTGGTTATGTGGTGACTTTCAGATTTACACTCCTCATTTTATATGCTCCTTTATTTTGGGCTCATTTCTCCTTTTCATACAGTATGATTCCATACATACAAGACAGTGACAAGACTATGACTCCATTTCATACAAGAATGATTCAAGGGCTCACTTTGGCTTGTAAATATGTAAAAGCCAGGCAAAAAACCAGGCTTGCCAAAAAGTGTTTTAAGAGGGGCTGTTTTAGTATCCCACTTTTTTGATGCCTCACCTTTTTCTCAGTGCAGAAGTTTGTCTCAATAATTCAAATGAGCGGAGCTGTCAGAAAAGGGAATTAGTGGTACAGCTTTCTGTCATGCCATTCCAGCAACCTTTGAAAGAGTAACAAGAGAGTTTCTGCATGCAGTGGCAGCCCAGGAGCCTGTGGGATGGGTCTGGTGACACCTGGATGATCTTTCAGGAGGCCCCAGGCCCTCTGAAAATCTCTGTGAATGTCCATAAGGGGCCATCTCTTCCTGCTGTCCTTCTGGAGGGAAGGCTGTAAAGCTCCAGGCTTCCCAGGGCACTTGGTGCCTGTGGAATAGTTCAGGGATGCTTTGCTGCTGGTGGCAGCTGCAGCAGCTGATTCCTTTCCTGTTCTGCTCCTGTGGAAGGAGCAGGGGCAGAGCTTTGCTCCCTGCCTTGTGTCCTGCACTGCACAGCTCTTTTCCACTTCAGTAGAGCCATCTTCTGTCCAGCAGAGAGAACCATTTCTGTTATTGCTGACAAGTATCCAGAAACCTCCTTCCCAGCTGCCTTGTCTTGTCCTTTTAGCTGCAGTGGGATGCAGGAGGAAGTTACCACTGGCTCTCTGCCCCTCCCAGCTGATGCTCAGTATCTGTATATATCACTGTATAGACTGGGCTGGGTGATAAAGAGCTGTTAGAGTTACAGAAATCCAGGAAAATAGTCAAACTGTGAGGTGGTTAACTTTGTGGGACTGGAGCAAGGTTCACATCATGACCAAGGATCACCCTGGTTCAAAGCTTGAGCCTGATCCTTGTCATTTTTACTGTGAGCTGAGCCTAATCAGGATGCAGCACTGCATTGTTTATCTTGGCAGTTACCTCTCTGTACTTCCCACGTGTTTATGGGTTTTGTCAAATCTAAGGAAACTTGCATGAGTCGTGTTTTCTTTTGTTCATTGTGAGTAGTGGTGAAGCCTACCTTTCCCACTGAAGAGGAGCTGTGTAGCAGCCCTGAATTAAAGCACACCATTCATTAATGCTGATTTGTGTTCCAATTTTAAATTTAATGTGACCTGGTCAGATTGTCTTCTATCAGGAATCTTTTTTTTTTTTTTTTTAATCCCAAACAAATAACACAAACCAACTAAACATCCTCCAAACCCTGAAAGTAAAACCAGGAGAGGAATTTAGTTGTTGCATAATATACATATTTTGTGAGCATATTTTGCTAGCATTTAGGTTACAGGAACTTCTTATTCTTGTTCAGTACACTTGAGTTAATCCATTGCTCATGAATTCAAATGGTTATTCTTTCCATGCAATTGTTTCTAGAGTAGTTCCACACACATCTCAGTCCCAAATAATTTTAGTCTAACTCTTAAAACATAACGAGTTTTGAGAACTCCCATATGTCAGGGTTTGACTGTATGTCTAATTAATGATCATTAATTAAAATTATTTTAAGAATAAAAAGTCAGACTGGGAATATGATGCTCAGTAGTGCTAGATCACTACAAATAGCCTGTCAAAACAAACCAGTGGGGTTTTTTACTGCATTTGCTCCCAGGCCTTGGGAAATGGCTTCTTGTAGGTTGTATGTGGTTTGCCAGGTGTGTTTTTTCCAAGATGTGCTTTTTCCAGAGTTTACCAGGTTAGATGTTTCTCTCTGCCTCCTTTGTTATTTGTGAGTAGAAAATATGTTTTAAAAAGTGTTTTGTATTCCTGTTTACCTCTCCATAGATTGCAGTAACATTCTAGTGCTGTTTTATCTGAGTTGCATTGGTGCTGTTTCAACCATTAGTGTTTAGGAGTGGCAGAAATTCTGACCATGATCAGATATTCATAATCTTTGGTTTATTTCTTGAGGGAGGAGAAGCAGCTGCCCCAAGGAGGTGCCTGTGTATGTAAATCAGAGTTTCCTCCTTGGATCTCAGCATGTGGGAGGGATTGTGCATGTAAGTACCTGGAGGTTCAAAAAACCCAAAAGTTCCTTTTGTATTTGACCCTCGTGGCAGGAAGGAATGATGAATCTGACTCCATGTTCTCAGAAGGCTAATTTATTGTTTTATGATGCTATATTATATTAAAGAATACTATACTAAAGAATACAGAAGGGATACCTACAAAAGGCTAAAAAGATAATAATGAAAACTCGTGACTCTTTCCAGAGTCTCTACACAGCTTGGCACTGATTGGCCAATGAGTGAAAACAACTCACAGCAGAAACCAGGGAAGCAATCTCCAAACACATTCCACATGAGCAAAACACAGGAGAAGCAAATCAGATAATTGTTATTTTCTTTTTTCTCTGAGGCTTCTTGGCTTCCCAGGAGAAAAGTCCTGGGTGAAAGGATTTTTCAGAAAATGTGAATGCCACAGCTCCCCATTCCAATTTATGGTGGTCTAGGGGGTGTGGGACAACATGAAGCCAGTCATAGCAAAGAGGAACACTGTGACCCTAAGTGCCTGTGCAAACTCCTGCCAGCTTTAGGTGGTTTTGTGGTATCAAGCAATGCTAGGCATTCTAGCTCATACAAGTCACACACCTTCTTTTGAATGTGAGGTAGCTGTCTTTAGCAGTAAAAACACTTTTCCCTCTTGGATACATTCCCCCTTGCAGCATATTTGTTTTTCACCTCCTGACCAAGGGGAGTGGAAATGATTTGCATCTGTCTAAGCTTGCAGCCAGCATTGGTGTATAACTTGTACTTTGCCACAGCTCCCTGTGGTTTGTAATGCAGCTGACTGGCATTGAGGGTGAGTGGAGAATTTCTGAACAATATTTACTGGAGGTACAGCTCAGGAAAACACTTTTGTGGTTCATGATTTGACCTCTTGGAGATTCCTCCATTGCAACACTAGGCTCTGCTGGGACTGGTTGAAAAGGGAAGCCAGTATGCTTACTGAGGCAGTTTCAGACCCGCTCATGACTGATGTAAAAAGTACTTCCCTCCTGCACCCAATGTGTTTCTGTGTCTTTTGTGCTCCTTGAAGGTATACTGGCAGTTAGTAAAAGCTTCTGATGCTTGTGGGCAAGGGGGGAAATAATCTGCATTTGAGATGCCTTGGAAATCTGAAAAGTATCACATCATAAATAAGCAAACAGAAAGAGGAAAAAATAAAGAGGCTGGTAGTGGTAATTGATCCAGATAATAAAATGTCAAATGATTTTGCCTGCTCTTATCTGATCATACAGGGAAAGTTCTCCTCCCCATTTTCTTTCCTTGCTTGCCCTTTGCAGAGATTCTGCAAGTTGCTGAGCAAAGCTAGAAGAAAGCAGTTTGGTAATTTGGGGTTTTTTTTCTGTTGCTTGGTTGGTGGATTTTAATTTGGTTCAGCTTGTTTTCTTTGGTGTGAGGATTTTTGCAGGGGGGGCAGAGAGGCTTTTTGTTTGTTTTGAAAGTATTCAGTGCTCCTGTGCTTGTGAACTCTGTCCCTACTTGCTGAGGGTACAGTAGCTGGCATAATGAGGGTGGTAAATGCTGTTAGTGATGCTTAGGGCCTGTCCAAAGCAGGGAATTCAGAAGAGCTGCACAGTGTGCAGTGGGGAGGTGGAGCTCTGTTGTCCTCTCTTGCTGCAGAAAAGGTCTGTAAGGGGAACACATCCTCTGCAAAAAGGGTGCATTTTGTCTGTTCCTGAATTTTATCACCAGGAAGCTGTTACCAGAATAGCTGCTCCATAGTGTTTTCTAGCATGGGGAGAACCACAGGATGTACTTCTAGCTCAAAAATGAGGAATTTGAGGCTGCAACATGTGCACTTGTACTGGGTGTTCTGTATTGTATGGGTGATGGTGAAGGTTTTGCATAACAAAAGGAGTTCTCCAAGTATTCTGTTTATTTAGATTTTTAATAACAAGAATCTGCAGCCTCCAAGAACTCTACTTCATTACTGAATGTAGCAGTAACTTTAGATGCTCTGCTCCAAATAAATTTTAACCTTACATTACCTTGCCACATTCACACCTAGCCTAAGCCTTTATTTCTCACATAGCAGTCAATCCACAGCCAAAGGAATTTGGAACATAAATATACAATTCCTTACTTGTTTCTGATCTTGGGAAGTGTAGTATTAAAATGTGAGGTAAGGACCTTTCATGGCAAAAATAAGAAAAAAAAAGTAAATATTTACAGAACTCAGCAGGAATACGATAAGAAGTGGCTGCCACTTATGGCATATTCTTTATGCTCTGCTTTAGGGAGGATTATTTGGGAGTTTAACTTTTTTTTTCTTGTTTCTTTCTTGGGTTTCTCATCTCTTTCTCACCTCCTCCCACTCTGACCTCTTAGCAGAGGGGAGCAAAGATAGATATACAGCTGTGAAGGCAACAGAGCTGCTGGAGCAGAGACAGTAGTCTGGGCATAAGGTGAAGTGATGCTGGTTTGTGGATTTGTGTTGTGAAAATAATCCCTCCAAACAGACAAAGTCCTTGTGTCTGGTGCAGTGATCACCAATAGGTAGTTGGTTGCTCCATTGTCAGAGTACTGAACAGATTTATCTGGCAGGCATGAGAGACCAGGATTTCTGTGGGTTGCAGCATTTGCAATCAATCTGGGAATAAAAGTGTCTGAATTGCATAAATATCCTTGAAGAGAAGTTTTTCCATATATTAGCACAGCAAAGAAGGCAAGTGAAATGTTCTCTCAATCACATCTGCACATACAAGTGTGCCTGAAGTGATGGCTGAATTTCTCCAACCTCACAGAAGAATACTAAGGCTTATTTTCAAGTTGGCTTTGAATTGAGAACCTTTGAAGAGATTTTTGTGTTGCTAAATATAAGAATTCTCAGTAGGAGAAGTACCAGCCCAGAGTGTCAGCAGCACCATGAGCTTTGTGGTAATTCTGTTCACTGACCCTAAGTGTTTGTTTATAAGAGTTAACATGTCTAATTTCTTTTTTCTAAATTTTCCACAGTCTAATAAAGGATATGGATAATGTCTCTCCTGAGAAAAATGATGTCAAAAGCTGTCCCCGGGACTCTGGATATGACAGCCTATCCAACAAGCTGAGCATATTGGACAAGCTCCTCCATACTCACCCTGTGTGGCTGCAGCTTGGTCTGAACGATGCTGAAGCCTTGGAAATTTTGCAGACACAACCTCCTGGGGTAAGAAGAATCTCAATTTCTTTAAGGACAAGCTTTTCTCAAATGTTGTGCTGCCATTTTATGTGACGGTGTTCACAGGGGTTCTTAGGATGAGGGAAGAGATGAGGATCTGACTCCATGGTTCAGAAGGCTGATTTATTATTTTATGATATATATTACATTAAAACTATACTAAAAGAATAGAAGAAAAGGTTTCATCAGAAGGCTAGCTAAGAATAGAATAGGAAAGAATGAATAACAAAGGTTTGTGGCTTTGCTCTCTGTCTTAGCCAGCTGGGCTGTGATTGGCCATTAATTACAAGCATCTAAGATGGGCCAATCCCAGATGCACCTGTTGCATTCCACAGCAGCAGATAATCCTTGTTTACATTTTGTTCCTGAGGCCTCTCAGCTTCTCAGGAGGAAAAATCCTAAGGAAAGGATTTTTCATAAAAGATGTCTGTGACAATTTTACACCCAGGTGTTGGACCCAATACAGTAATGGCGAAGTAAAATTACAGTATGTTGTAGAGCAGACATCATGGGATTGTTGTGGTTCCTTTTTGTGTATGATCTGTATTTATTCTGGCATCTGTGATGAAGCTAATACCGTGTTCTTCTGCCTTCTCCACAACAGATATTTCTGGTTAGGAAATCTGCAAGGCTGCAGAAGAAAGTCATCTCTCTGCGTCTGTCCAGCGACTGTGGGTCCTGCCTGAAAGAATTTGCCATAAAAGAAAGTACATACAGTAAGTTGTGAGTTACATACTTTTCAGCTGCTTCTTAGGTACTTTTTCCCTATAGGATGCAGGAGCATTTGCACTGCTGAAACCCACAGCAGAGGATACCCAAAGTCATGCAAATAATGTCATGGGCTGCCTGTGCTGCTCTCTCAGGTGGGCTCTGGGAGTGGGTCTGGCATATTCTGCCATGAGGAGGGCAGATATATAGAAACACTTAAAACACATAAAACTGCTTCAACTGGAATGTTTCCACTGTGTACCTTGATGAATCCACTATTCATTTATTTTTATGAGTACTTATCCTCTTAGAAACTTACAGTCTTTTGTAGAAACACGGTCTGTAATGCTGTCTGCTTTCAATGAAATGTTCTTGAATGCAACTTTGTCATGAACTCTCTGCAGTTGAGGTGTGGGATGGGTTGTTTGGTTTGTTTTTGTTGGTGGTGGGTTTTGGTTTTGGGTTTTTTTGGTTGTTTGGTTTTTCTTTTTGGTGTGTGATAGCTAAATGGATTTTAATCTGTTAGAACTGTTTCTGTCACAAAATCAATGATTTCTCTTTTTAATTCAAACTATATCTGTTCTTTCTTTTTTTAGTAGAAATGAGCAAATGTTAACACTCCAAATTGTTTTGAACCAATAATGCCCTCATATCTTTAGAAGGGAGAGTGTGAAAAATAAGTTTGAGATTTAGGAATGAAAAAAGGAAGCTGCAGCTGGTGAGTCTATGTGGTACTGAAACTGCAAGTGGAGCAAATATTTCGTTTTAACAAGAAAGAGAAAACTGAAGAAAATTAGCAAAAGTTTCAGTTAATCATCCCTGAAACAGAGAGTCTATAGTTAACTTCTATTTTTACTTGTAAACTGACATAATTTTAGTTGAGTTTTTCCTTTTTTATCTCTCCCTCCCCTGCACACATGAACAAAAAGTTAATTCTATGTGTCTGGTTTTAGTTCCAGGTACAAGCAAGGCAAGGCAAAGAGAAAGTTGTCAGTAATAGCTGATGTAATTGTGGTCTAAGGCTGTGTTTATAGGCTTGAAATTCCCATCTAGAAAAGAATTATATACTGTCTTTTATGAACAAAATTCTTCCACAAGGGGGAGATATTTACTGATGGTTTTAGCTATTTGTCACAGCTGAGGTTTTAGATCAGAGGCAAAAGATCTGGATCATTTCACTGTAGGAGCTTTTTCTGCTTGATCTGTGAGATTTGCTACTGGCCTCAGAGAGAGCCTGAGGTAATTGTCATTATTACTGAGAACAAGTATTTGTATCAGTAAGAAACAATGGTATCAAGTGGGGAAAAATGAAAGGCACTGCTCCTGTCTTCCTCTTCCCTTGTGCAAGGCAGTGGCATGCAACAGCTGTCAGAGTTTTAAAGAGTTTTTAGGTTAAAAGTGGATGGAAATTTATCTCCCTTTATGTTCTACACTCCTAAGGTGAAGACAAGTGAGTAGAATAGAATTCAAGAGGAGGAAATAAGACATTTAAAATTAGGCATATTAGTACACAGGGCAAACAAAGCCTCAGTTATTGATTTGTTGTCTATTAGCAAAACATTGTGCAGGCTCATCACACCTAATCTGTTTTACAGGAATTAGACCATATCCTTGGAATACAAAAGCAGACCAGCCACCAAGATTATCAGTATATTCTTGAAAATGCCTTCAGCAGGAATATGTACTTCTTCACAGAGCTGTTTTCTCTTAATCAAATAGTAGCTAGTTTGATGGTGGAATCTTACTAACTTCATGCTAAAATCTAAGATATATTTTATTAAACTGTTCTAAGAAACAGTGGATTAATGTGTGATTGTTTCTTGTAACTTTCTTTGCAGCATTTTCCTTGGAGGGGTCTGCAATAAGTTTTGCTGATTTGTTCAGACTCATTGCTTTCTACTGTATTAGCAGGTAAGGTGGTGCTCTGTTCCAAGCCACATCTGCTAGAAAGAAAATAATTTAAAAAAAAAAGAGTTTTGAGGAGTTGTTTCAGCTATTGGTGCTATTTATGTTGCCAATCTGTGAATATTCCTGGATAGCCTTAGAAGGTAATGGTAGCAATCAGAGATAAGTCTTGGAAGCAAGTGTCTCTGTCTTACTTCATATTGATTATTGGGAGGCTGATGTGATTTTACACATCCAGCTGTGAGGTGCTGCCAAGCTGAACTTTACTTTAGCTGATATCTTGTGAGGCTTTCTTAAATGCTCTGTAGCTCATTTAAAAACAATTATAAACTAGCTTGCAAAGTCCATTTCTTGGAATTGCTGGTGAGAAGAATTTTTGGAGCATAATGGAAAAATGTCAGATGTGTAGAATATGACAACTGGGAGATGTCAGTTTAAATGGTGAACAACAAAAATGGCCTTGTCAGCTTTGCAGTTTATGGTTGCCAAACTTGTTTTCCAGGTAGTATGCAGAAAAAAATGTAGCTAGTGTTTTTATCCTTTATTTTCCATTTGACTTCAGTTTACTGGTGAGAATTTCCAGACTGATGCTTGAGCCTTGTATGCACACACAGACAGGGCACAACCAAACTGCCCAGGTGCACATCTTCTGAAGGAAGCAGAGAGGCAGCTGTGATAGTCTCAGTCCTTTTACTGCATTGAGGCTGCCAGTTCATGCTGGCCATGTGATGATTTCTGGTGGGGGATGCTCTTGGGCTGCTGTGCTTGCTGGTTTTGTTTGTGGTGGAAAAGCATCTTAGACCCCTTTCCTACAGTCTCTGTTTAGCTGAGCTGTACATGCATGTAATAAAAGCAGCATTGATACCACATGGATAATTGGTCAGAACTCAGAAGAGAAATGAGCAGAAAATGTGTTTAAATGTAGTTTAATGAGGAGATATTCCTTATCTTGTCACCCTTTCAGTCCTGCACACTTGCCAGGCTCTGGTAAATTCTCTCTAAGTACCTACAGGATCACTCAGCAAACAGGTTACTTGCATTAGTCCATCCATTTTCTTTCACTGAAGGTTCAATATTGCTTTGTATAGATTAAAGGGGGCAGATAGGTAGCTATTGTGAAAAAGAGACAGTACCATTTGGTACATCACAGGAAATCCAGGAGGATTTTCTAAAACCAGAAGGAATTTCTTGCAGGAGGTAGCCAAGCAGTTTTTATGAGGGTTTACCTATTTTTTAACTGCAACCATGGTGATGATCTGGACTCTGGATTTTCTGTGGTACCATATTAAAGTGTCTTTCAAATGCTTTTTAGCTAGTGTATCAGTCCTGTGCATATGCCTGGCTTGAGTGTGAGTGGAATTCTGAGATCCTGTTTTTTCAAGAAGCTAACATACAACACAGAGAATATTTATGTGATAAAGACCCACAATCTGTCTGTGCTATAGCAGATGGTTGGCTTGTTCACAACCTTAAAACCAAAATTGTGTAGGATTCTCATTTAGTCTTAATTCTATGGGTCCTTCTACTACAGATGTTGCTGTTTAGCAACAGTTAGAATAAAATTCTTATTCTGAAAACTGGAATAACAGTCAACAGTTTATTCAGAAAGTGAGAAGCTTTTTTGAAGTTTCAAGGGCAGGTAACAAGTTTGCATCTCACTGTCTGCTTGTAGAAGACCAGGTGTAAAAGCTTTTGTTGGAAAGGCAGAAAATTCTGGATGGCTGTGTGGAAATGATCCTAGGGAAAGTCCTGGGCACTTGGCTGTCATTTGCCCTTCACACCACTCTGCAAAGTAAAGGAGCTTTGGGGTTGGTAATGTCATGTTTAACTGTGCTGTGTGTTTAAGGATCTTGCTACCTGACACAGCTCAAGAAGAAGATAATCAGAAATCAGACACTGCCAGTGTTTAAAAAAAAAAAAAGTTTTTCAAACTATGGATGGTGCTGAAAACCATAATGGTTTTTCTCTTTGGAAACAGGGATGTCCTTCCATTCACACTGAAGTTGCCTCATGCAATTGCTGCAGCAAAGACAGAAGCTGAACTTGAAGAGATTGCTCAGCTTGGACTGAGTAAGTAGTTCTCTACACAGATGTCTTTCCCTGTAGCACACCTGCAACATTGAAGAAATAAGCTGTATCAGTAAATAGTTCATACTGGTTAGTGATGATACAAATTTTGTTTAGAAAAGCAGTTTCCCTTATTTGGGAAGGCCAGACCTTCTTCTGGCCAAGGAGTGGTGCTCTTCCTTCCTTCTGTGCCTCCTGTGATATTTTTGTTAGTGCTGTTTCTTTCTTCCTTCTTCTCTTCCCTCTCTGGGCAACCCTTGGGCAAAGCAAATCTCACAGTCCCCACACAGAGGTTGGTGTGGCTTCTGCTCCAAGACCAAACTGCATGCTCACATAGCACTGGCTGTGTGAGCCTATATAAAACACTGGCTTTATAATTTATTGTGAGGAGAGTGTAGGAACTGAGGTCCCCTGTTAATATAACTTCTGTTCAGATTGACATGGAAACTTAAAATGGTGAATTTGGAGATCAGTGCATCAATGAAGTGGCATATTTAGAAAATGAGGAGTGTATATATGATGGTGTAGAATGTATCCATGGGCAGGGGTTAGGTGAAATTTTTAAAATACCAGAAGACAATGCAAGGGTGTCCTTGCATCACTTGGTTGCTTCAGCCAAACACAGGCTCCTTGTAAAGCATACCTTGAGCTCAGAGGAGATGGATGCAAAGCCTTTGTAAAGCATACCTTGAGCTCAGAGGAGATGGATGCAAAGCCTTTGTAAAGCATACCTTGAGCTCAGAGGAGATGCATGCAAAGCCTCCTGGGATTTGAAACTTGGGCACCACCCAGATGAATCATTAAGCAGCTCTGCATTGAGCAAAGTGCTGAGTGGCTTCATTTCCTTCTCCAGGAAGGGAAGGTTGACTGTCAGCAACCTTTGTTGCAGTAGATTTTTTAATAATCTTTGATTTTGAAAAGAGTCATCTCTGAATCAATGTTAGCATGAGGATCTCTTGAACTGTCTGATGGGACTTTGCAGTAAAACCATACCTGGGGATGTATTGCAGTGCTTTGCATTTTGGTTTGCTGCAGTAGCAGTGCAATTAAAGGGTTTGTTTTAGAGAGGAGAGAATTACTTCTGCACTGCTTGACTGCAAGTTTAGGTAATCAGGTGAAACTTTGGGTTATCATGGGAATAGAGGCAAATATGGTAGTGTTGAGGTCAATGTTTAGATGGCAAAAAGAAAGTGAAAGGTCTGACTGGGATACAGTGTAATGAAAACAGTCTCCCACTGACACATGGAAGCCTTAAAGTAGCATGAGGTGAGTCTCTCCAGAGGGGATGATAATGGTAATGTTGATCAAGCTCTCCAGGCTAACCACACTTTGTCACCAGTACCCCAGAGCACTGTGGTCTGCTTGCTGCAGAATTAGTCTTGGTCTTCAACAGTCTCTGCATTGTGTGTGTTTTTTCTGTAGCTACTACATTTGAAAGTTGATGGATCAGTGTCTGTGTTGTTGCTGTATTTGGGATTAATTACCTGATATACACCAGATCACAGTTTCCATGAGCTAAAAGCAGGCTACAAAGTTGAGATTTTGATGGAGTTTTAGGTGTCCACATGCAGAAGAGCACACCAGAAGATGAGCCTTTCAATGCTGTGGACTCAAGAGGGGCCTAAAAACTCCCAACAGCCCTTCCTGTTAAGTGTGAGTTTTCTTCGAGGAACACCTAAGCACAAAACCCCATCTGTATCTCCTGTCAGAGCTCTCTTGTGCAGTAGGCTCAGAGAGAGAGCTGCACAACACTAGTCAATAGCACATAGCCCAGCAAACCACATCAGGAGGAACTTTTGGTAAAGATTCAAGGCTGTTGCCAACCTGCAAGGTTTCATGTGCTGGACATATGATTCTTTCTCAGTCTCCCTTGTGTTTCACCTGCAGCAGTGCTTACATCATGTGTGTTTGCAGTGGCCACATGCCAGGCACAGGCACTGAGAGATCCACAGGCAGGATGTGAAGTCATGAAGCTGGGAACACCAGCAACATGGCATAACTATGCAGAGAAACATGCCTGTGCCTGTAGACATTCTCTGGCTGTGGCCTGTCACCACGGGCTGTTTCCTGTCTTCTGCCCCACAGGCAGGACATGGCTCTTGGCCATGGACCTGTTCTGGATGCTTGGCATTCGTGCCCTTGGGCTCAGATATCATTGCTCAGTTGCCTCCAGTGAGCCAGCTTGACACACTATGGGAAAAGGACCATGTCAAGATTGGCAAATTTTAGCTAAATCTCCCTCCTCTGGTACTCTGCCCATATTTCAGCATGATTGCTGCCTTCAAGGGCACATCTGGTTTCAATCTTCATACCTTCAGGCACCAGCGCTCTTTAGCAGTGGCTTGGTTGCACAAACATGCTGACACTTGTCTGGGATAAGTGCAGAGGCTGCAGCTGCAACTTGCTGGTGTAGCATAGGTTTTCCATGCCACTAGTGTGGAACTGCACGTGGGTCTCTTTATGTGTCACTGCAGTCTCAGGCAAACTGTCCCCACAGCAAAGGCAGGGCAGCAGGCACCTTTATTAGACACTGGATTGCTTGGTCTGCCTTGCTGAAGGTGATGTGTGCATCCACCACAGCAAAATGGGAGCTGCCTTTTCATGTATAGTTTCATGTGTTCACTATGAAAAGAAACTGAAGCAAGATACTTGTAGAGTTTCTGGAAGTGGCCTTTAGCCGGTGTAAATCAGCTTAACCATTGTCTTTAATGAAGTGAGCTTATTAAAGCTGAGAATCTTGCTTTATTTCTCCTGAGTGACATGCTAGTGAGAAGTTTGTTTGTCTGTTACAGTCTCCATTCCTTTCTTTGATTCTCAGTTTAATTTTAAGCTTAGTGGGGTGATTGGAAGCTATGCATTGGTCATGGTATTTATAAATGAGTAAGAGCAGCCCAAGGAATGTAGCATATAGTTATGTCTGATGGTACTTTAAAAGGTTCACTGGATTTTTCCCCCCCTTTTAATTAATAAAACCTTGCTTAAATTTCTCGATGTTTTAAACTGGTGTTGTTGAGTTGAATGTTCTGAAATCCATCTGCATGGTGTTTAGCATTCTTACGTTAATGCAATGATGATTTTCAGACTTTTGGAGCTCCCTGGCTAACAGCAAACCCCCGGATCCTTCACCTCCCTGTAGGCCTGTGCCTTTGGACAGTGCTCGCAAAGACTCCCGCCAGCTCTGCCTTATAAATGGAGTGCATTCTATACGAACCAGAACGCCTTCGGAGCTGGAGTGCAGCCAGACCAACGGAGCGCTGTGTTTCATTAATCCCCTCTTCTTAAAAGTGCACAGCCAGGATGTCAGTGGAAGTCTGAAAAGGCAGAGCCCGAGAACTCCAGACGTGAATGGCACAGCGAGGCCTCGCTCCCCCCCGCCCCGGCCGCCACCTCCTGCTATTAATAGCACCCTCACGAGCCCGCAGATTTCCAGGACTATAAAGCAGGCGAGCATGCCAGAAACACTCAGCCATAAGAAGGAGAGGGGCTCGGATTTGCTGCAGAACAAGCCCACCCCGATTCCGCCTCCTCGGCTGAAGAAGCAGGCGCTGTGCTCCGAGGCTGACGGTGCCTCCAGAAGCGCGGCCGCCCTCCGGCCCCGCTCCTCCGTGTGCGTGCCCGAGGCAGCCACGGCTGCTCCTCCGCGTGAAACCCTGCCAGCCCTGCCCCAGCCGGCTCCAGCAGCTCCCAAAAAGACTCCAGCTGCCATCTCTGAGTCACACATCCCGTGGAATGGAGGCCGGCAGAGACTGAGCGACATGAGCATTTCCACCTCCTCATCTGACTCGCTGGACTTCGATCGGAGCATGCCGCTCTTCGGCTATGAGGGGGACACCAACAGCAGCCTGGAGGACTTTGAGGGGGAGAGTGACCAGGAGAGCATGGCACCCCCTTTGAAGCCCAAGAAGAAAAGAAGCAGTTCGTTTGTTCTCCCCAAGATTGTGAAATCTCAGCTACGGAAAGTCAGTGGAGTTTTCAGTTCCTTCATGACCCCGGAGAAGAGGATGATTAAGAAAATTGCAGAGATGTCCCGGGACAAACGTACCTATTTTGGATGCTTAGTGCAGGACTATGTCAGCTTTCTGCAAGAAAACAAGGAGTGCCATGTTTCCAGCACTGATATGCTGCAAACAATTCGTCAGTTCATGACCCAAGTCAAGAACTACTTGTCCCAAAGCTCCGAACTTGATCCCCCAATCGAATCACTGATTCCTGAAGACCAAATAGGTAAGAAACACTGTCCTGTGTTTTGGAGGGAAGGTGAAAATGTGGAATCTGTGTTTATAAGTGATAGTCTTTGTCCAGTTCAGAAAGGTGGGGCTAACTTGGCTAGTAGAGCTTGGACTACCGAGTATTTGAGTCTTAAAACAACCTCCCCCTCCATTCCCCACCCCAAATCACTCTGTTGGCTTGGGATGATTACACTACAAAGTTTTTCATAAGAAGTTATCCTTAAAATAAGTGCAATGTGGACTTTTTTTACCTGTGATTATTACTTTTTTTACCTGCTTTACTGTTGATAATAGAGAACCCTTTATTTGCTGGCACACATGTGTTTTTCTCTGAATTGGACTGACATAGTTCTCAAGGTTTGGTCTAAAACTGCCAGATCTGACCATATGGACTGTAGCTGTCGAACTAGAATTTATTCAAAACCAATGACATTTTATGACAACTTAGTTTTGAAATAAATCTGATTCCTCCAGACATTCTTAGTCACTTCTAACAAAGCTGTACTATCCCTGCACTTGAAACTAAATAAAAAGGTGTGTAAGAGTTTTAGACAACAAACATGTGCAGGAGGCAGAAGGGGCTGTTGTTTTCTGTAGTTTTCTGTACTTCTCTGTTAGATGTGTTTGTGAGTGGTTATGGATGAGCTATATGTTTTAACAGGAGAGAGAGAGATTTGTATATCCAGAAAAGTGAAATCGTTGTTGCTGCATAAATCTCGCTGCCTCTCATGCAGAGTCTGAGCAGTATTTGTAAAAGGTCTGTAAGCCACATTTAAGAGGTAAACACGCCTCAGGGCAGAATACTTTCCTTGTGAGCTCACTTCAGTCCTAATTTGTTTGTTTTTCTCCCTACCCCAGTGTCCCAACAGTTGGCTCAGTGCAAAATTGGCAGACACTTCCTTCCCTGGGACTAGAGGGTAATTTTATATTGACATTCTGTCTGTCCTTGACCAAGATGAAGTATTCTCATGTAACCTCAGCTGCATTTACACAGTGTCAAGCAAAAGTCACAAGGGCTGCTAAAGCAAATACAAAAATGTGAAAAGTGTCCCCAGTATTGAGACTCAGAGACATAAAATATTCTCACTATAATAATGAAGACTGTTAGGTGGGTGTTTCATGGAAGAAAAAGCACCAAATTAAGCAGGGGATGGAGGTGCATTTTTGCCTGCATTTCTGTAGAGTGCTGGATGTCTGACAAAGCAATTCAGATCGAGTTTGGTTGTAATTTTGTGAAAGCCTAGTTTGTTATGTACTTTTCATTTCACAAGGGTGTGGTTTAATGGGATTGTGGGTCTCCCAAGACTGGAAAAAATGTTGTCTGCTATTAACTGTTTCAGACTTTGGAGTACCATAAGTTATGAAGTATAACAATAAAACTGCCCTGGTTTTCTTCAGCGACAGAAAGTCTGGTTTTGATCATGTGACTAAACACAATTAATTTATAAAGTGGGCTGGTTTAAACAGAAAAAGAACTTGCTTTTGAATCATCTACTGCCTTTGGCTTGAGCCAGCAAACAACTGCAGTGGATCAGGAGCATCAGATGTTACTGATCTAAGTAGATAACTATGTGACAGCAAAATTTAGTCATCCCTATGGAGAGCTTTTTATGAAGTAGAGTCCTGCCTGATTGCAGCCCAAATTGTAACTTTGTGAGTGGTTGTTTATCCTCTCTCGTCAGTTCCTACTTCCATGGTGCAGTTTTTTCCTCCAGCGTGTCAGCCTGGTGCTGCATGTGTGCCTCTGGGATAATGCTCCTCCTTTCTGAGTCATTCAGCCTTTGTTTTAACCCTCTTTTGTCTCCTGAACTTCAGTAGGTGCTGGAACACCTCCCCCAGGTCTAGTGAAACCCTCGGTGTTTGGAACTTCTTTCAATGTCTCCATAATGATCTTTTTGATCATGTGGATCTTCTTCTATAATTGCACCATGGACTCTTGCAAGCAAAAGACTTCTGCAGCAGATCTTTTAAGCTTCCCAGACAGGGAAAATTGTTAAGCTTCTGCAAAATCACTGGGAAAATATCCTTCAGGGTTCCTAGCCCTGACAGATGCCTCCTAACCTTGGCACTGTAGGCTGTTAACCCTCCCTGAAGCAATGGGACTCCCAGTGTTGGCACAGAGTCAAGAGTAAGGCACATGGCTCTTTATTGTTTGAGGATGAATGTAATTTATTTTTTTAAAAGTCATCCACACCTCAGTTTGTATCCACAGAATAAAGACTGGTCTGAGGAGATAGTCCAGAGCTGCTTGATCAGCAAATGTTTGGGAGTTTTTGTCTTTTCATCTTTTCCTGGCTCTGAACAGAATGGAGTCAAGTTGGATGCTGTCACTTTGCCAAGTGGGATCTAACATCTGACATCTAAACAACTTCAGTCTCAGTGCCCAAATCTGGCCCTGAACCAAGAAATCACTGGTTGAAACCACTTGTCAGTAAGGTACCAACTGATCATGTGGGAACGTCCCTAAACAATACCATCTATTACTTGGTTTGATATTTCTAATACGTTAGGGATATTTAAATGCTGAGTGTTCAAGAAGCTTGGAGAGAATGTGTTGGTCTCTTACTGGCAGTCCATGCCTTATTTAAGGTCCTTGGCTCTGTACAGAGGAGTTGCAGGCAGACAGAGCTACACATGCTAATTGACTGAAGCCCAGGAGTGACCCCCATTGTTTGACAGCCAGCCATTGGTACTTGGGTTCTCAGTGTTCTGTGCACCTGTTGGTGCATGCTGCTTATGGTTATTATGGCAAGACAGAATTTCCCTGGTTTGTTTATATGGAAGGGGCACAGAATTAGACTTATGGGTCTTAAAAAGGTTAAGCAGCAGCCCACCCCAGATCCCCTCTTCTTTACTAAGCCATTTATCCTCCTAAAGGAGCTAGAATGGTATGTCACTATTTCTGCTTGAAAAACTCATGCCAGCTGTTTTTTTCACTGTGTTACTTTTTAGGTGCTGTTCTGGGGTCCTGTCCTGCATTGTTGCATCTTTTCACGTTGAGCTCAGTCTTACAAACACATCCCTCAGTGCCCCTCCTTTCAGCACAGGAGTGACAGGACTGGGCAAGCAGGAAGCAGTGGTGAAAGTACTGAGAAGAGGCAGGGGACCAGGCTCTGTGTCTGACCATCCCTTGGATTTCCTTTGTGACTTTCTCCCAGCTTCTTTTCTTTCCTGCTGCTTCAAGAGAAGACATGTGCTTACCACACAGCTATAGCATGAGTTTTAAGTAACTCACAGCTGCTTAAAGCAGAGCACACCTTGCACAGATAGCTGTGTGATTTTTTTTTTGTGTGCTTTTATGTAGGTCAGATGAGGGGAGGCTTACTTTCATCCCTAGTTGCTGGGTCTCTGCCACCACTGCCTGTAGATCAACCACCTCAGTTTTCAGGGTTGTGCTGATTATCAAGGAATGTGGATTGTGTGGGGTCTTACTTTCAAGTCCTGGTCCTGTGGAGGAGATTGCCATGTCTGCACCCACCAAGAAATGGATGCTTGGCCATCACTCTGTGGTATTCCAAAGCAACTTTGTGCTTTCAGCTCCCAGGCAGTGTGACCTGTGCAGGACTGGGCCTTTTTGTGGTGGCTCTGAGGCTCACTCAGTCTGCTGCTGACCTCTGATTTCCCTGCTGAATGGTTTGGCCATGGTAAACAAAACAGGGCTTGAGTGTAAATGGAGGGACTGGAATGTGACAGTCATGTCAGTGGAGCAGCAATAGTTGGTAGGTAGGAGGAAAACAGAGAGCCTGGAAAAGGTGAGAGCGTGCCTAGAGTTTGAGGAAGTGAGGGTTGTAAGGAGGCTGTGTAAGGACACTGGCAATGACTAATGTGTTGTCTTGTCTAGATGCAGACTTGTGTGGTTGGCAGCAAAACAAAAATAGCATGTCAGCACAGGATACAGATGTGTTTCCACAAGTTACAACGAAACTAGCTGGCTGGCCTTTCCAATTCATTTATCAAAGCACTTCCAGTTCCCATTTTGAGGCTACAGGCTAATTATAAGCATTTCAGGAACGATACACAGTGTTCAGCTGATATTATATTCAGTTAAAAAACATTATCTGAAGAGTATCTGTTTTGGTTTTGGAGTTGTAAGCATCCTGGGAGGATATTTGAAAACATGCATCTGGAATAAACAGAATTTTTGTTGCTGATTTGGATCTTAAAAATATACAGAGATGTTAAGGTAAAAATTAAGTTCTCAATTCACAACTTAGATAATGATTTGTCTGGGAAACACTCATATACTATTTTGTGGCCATTAGAAATCAAACAATGAAAACTGCTCTGGCTGAGAATTGGTTTGTGGGGTCTTACCCAAAACCACCTTTCTGTGAAAGCAGCCAGAAGCAGCAGTGCTGAAGAATGGGTCGCTGGTGGCTGGTCTGGCCCCAAAAATGCTCACAGGTGCCATGACACTGAATATTGTTCTAAGATCAAATCACAAGAAGTGCTGTCCTACCAGGCTTTAATAATAATATAATTTTTTTGCAAGCTTTGTATTTGTTAGGATACATATGGGTATTACTGTTGACCATTAAAAAACCAGTCCAGCCCTTATCAATCTTGTTGCTGTTACCCTCATCAGCTTGTTGGATTTTGCCACTTTTTCATTTGAGGGCAGGACTCAGTGGTTCTCACGTGTGTGCCAAGAATTCATAAAGGAGAAGAAAAGGTTGTGTGTCGTTTTGAGGGTTTTTTGTGTGTGGCTTGAAGGATTTTTGTTTGTTGTGGTTTTTTCTTTGTTTTGTTGTGCCTGTGTGGAGCTTTGAGCACAGCCACGAGTTACATGATCCCTTCCTCTGTGCTGCTTCAGAATTATTTCAAGTTTCCATGGAAACTGTGGAAATGTGATGGAGTAAATTTCAAAGCAATTTCCAGGCACTGCTTTTGGATCCTGTGACAAAATAGCAAATGTGAAAGAAACCTCCTTGCCATCTTGCACAGCTGTTAAAATCTCCATGGTTCTTCTGTGGAAGTGGCATTGCCTTTGGAAGGGTTGAGGGCAGAAACCCTGAGCCTTCAACGAGCCTGGCCCCAGCCAAGAACTGCAACTCTGGGGAGGAATTTTGTCTCCCAGCAGCATCCAGTTCCTGTGGGATGTGGGGAAGCCTCCTGTTCCTATAGAGGATCAGTCACATCCAGAATCACACTGACTTTCCCGAGGCTCCTGTGAACAGACGTTGTGATGACCTCTCTTTACTGAGATGAAGGATGGCTTCTGCTCAATATTCATCTACAAAACTTCCAGTGGAGCCTGTGGGAGTTCAGCTCTCATGGGGACAGAGCTCTCCCACTGTGCATGATGTTTAGCAGCACCAAGTGCTTTAATAAACAAGACAAGATGCTTGGAATGCACAGTGCAGAGGTGTTCCTCTTACAAGCAAAGCAGTTGTTTTTCCTATTTGAAAAAATCAGGTAGTAGGACTAAAGTAAGCTGAATTGCCAAAAAAATAGTCATCATTGAAGATAGCAAGGAAGGATTTGTACACTCTAGAATAGAAATTTAGCTAGCCAATGTACCTGTGGGTGAGACTCGTGTGTTTTTCTTGGTGAAAAATTGTTTCTGCAATTGTTTATGCCCCATGAGCCCTGAGGATTGCTTTGATGGCAGGGAGAGGCAGTTTCTGTCTCTCACCCTGTGCAGAAGGGTGATGCTTCTATTTACCTGGCTGGTTTGGTGCTGATGGTGTGGCTCTACCAAGTACAATAGAGGTGAAGTGTTGCCACTTGCTCACGTTGCTAATTGATGGCTCTGGTCTGCTGGGAAGCTGGATCCAGCCCTTGCTGCTGTGTGAGAAGCCACCAAGAGCATGTCTCAGACTGATCATGCCTTTTCCAGTGCCTTTACTGACAAACACAGATAAAAAACTACATATGAAGTCAGGGCAGCATAGGATGAGAAATGTGCGTGTGAAGGGTGTTTATATGGGAAAGAGAGGGATGGAGACCCAAAAGGAAAAAGGGCTGGACACAAGAATATGATAAATTTTAAAAAAAAGCAAGAAAACAGAATAATGCTTGTTTGGAGAGTATGTGTGTGTCTGTGTAAATACCAAGCCTTAGAAACAGTATGTGATTAAAAAAAAAAAAAAAAAAAAAAAAAAAAAACAAAAAAAAAAACCAAAAGGGAGGGGGAGAGTAGGGAGAAAAGAAAGAGGCTGTAGTCTAAAAAATCACAGAAGTACAGGCAAAGAACCTGGGATGGGCATGAGGTTTAATGAAGCTGTAATGAGTCACTGTAGTCTAAAAAACCCACAGAAGTACAGGCAAAGAACCTGGGATGGGCATAATGTTTAATGAAGCTGTAATGAGTCACTGTTACTAACAAGAATGTCCACTGCTAATTTGTGTAAAGGTGTGGCCTGGCAGTGACACAGCCTCTCCTCTGTGTGCTCTCTGTCCTTGTGCTCCTCTGGTCCATCTGCCTGCTCCAGGCTCTGGAACTGCCCCACTCTCCCGTAGGGATGGCACAGGAGCATTCCCCACCATGGTACAAATAATCGATGTAACTTGAGAACTAATGTTAACTGTGTTGCCATAAGGATGCTGAGAAGGGAAATTGGCTTTTACAGTAAAAGTTTGCAGAGAAAGTGTTGAGCAAAGAGCTTTCTCTGTTGACACAGTCCATACTATGAAAATGGAGAATGAGGGTTACAGAAAAACTGGAGTAGAACAAGAATTAAAAATAAGTCCTGAAGTTAGCAGTTACTGTGCTATGTGCACACAATTGCCAAAGAACTTCAAACTTGATGACAAAGCTGTATATAAGCTTGTGTGATGAAATCTGAAGCTGGAAAAACACAGCTTGGTTTTCATTTATAGTTTAAAGCCTGTAATCTGCCCAGCTTCATAAAGATCCTGACAAAGTTGAGCCAAGTTTTAGGAAATCTTTGTTGAGTTATAGTTTCCAATGGAAACTATGCAAAAAGAACAGGCTTTGATGCCAAAGGAGACAAAAATTATGATTTTGACTGTGTTTCACGTTAAGTTTGGGAGTTAAAGCTAAACTTAAAGTAAAATAAAACTTGCAGACTTCCATCCAACAAAAGAAAAACTTTAATAGACCCACAGCTTTTTTTTGTTTTTGTTTTTACCTATCTGTAGTCTGTGTGGGTGTGGTGTTTTTTATTTATCACATTACCAGAAATGACAATTCAGTGCGGATTCTGATGTTAACAAACATCTGGAAACTCAGCTTGTGTAATAAATGGGCCTTAGAAAGCAGGTTGTGCTCGACAGGGTCTCTTCAGGGAATGGTTATGTTAATGCTGGCTCTGCTTTAGAGGGGGAAGTCAGCTGGATTTGTGTTTTCCTGTTGCAGATGTTGTGCTGGAGAAGGCCATGCATAAGTGCATTCTGAAGCCCTTGAAGGGTCACATTGAAGCGATGTTGAAAGAGTTTCATACCACAGATGGTTCCTGGAAACAACTGAAGGAAAACCTGCAGCTGGTGCGGCAGAGGAATCCTCAGGAACTGGGCGTGTTTGTCCCAACACCAGACTTTGTGGACGTTGAAAAGATTAAAGTCAAGTTCATGACTATGCAGAAGATGTATTCACCTGAAAAGAAAGTCATGCTGCTGCTGAGAGTTTGCAAATTGATTTACACTGTTATGGAGAATAACTCAGGTATGGTGTTTCTGGTAGCTCAGGTTCACTGATATTTCATACCTGATGTTGTCTTTCAGAGGAATCAGCCCATCTCGTTCTGCAGACAGCTCTACTGCTGAAGCTCTTGCAGCAGCTTCTCCTTGCCCTTTGGAGAGGAATTCTTGCTCTCTGCTTCTGACCTGCTCTCTCTGAACTATCTGGCTGCATATCTTCAAAACTCAGTCTGAAGCAGAGGTGTTGTCATGGGTGGAGTTGGAGCTTTAGGCAAAGTTGATTAGAGAAGCCCTCCCATGGTGCAGGAAAGACCCTTCTGCTTTCTGAACTCCTCAGAGAGGAGCCTGGGTGCAGCTGGATTCAACCTTAGCCCAGACTTTGGCAATGGTTTAAAATCCAAGGAATTTTAGGGGTGTAATTGAACCTTTGTACTACTTGGTGCTACAGGATTAAGGATGACAAACCAGATGAAGTCATGTAAAAATGAATTATTTATTATGATAAATTATTAGACCAAAAAGATCTAAATCTGAATCATTTACTACACAGTGTAGAAGTAAAAACTACTAGTATAGTCTAGTATAGTATAATGCATTATATCAAAACAATTATAATAACAAAATTATATTAAAGCTAGCAAAAGGACCCAAAACAATTACTGGGTAGAGATTGATGTTTCTTAACCAGGGGGGGCAAATCTCTTTTGCTCAGCCTCCAGGAGTGGCTGTGAGGGGCATTCCCCCCCAAGGGAGGAGTCTCCACACAAACTCCCAGAAGGGAAATATTAGAAGATCCTGCTGTTTGAAAGCAGGAGTGGACTTTTGGAGTGCAAACTGATTGCTGTCAGCCAGATATCTCCATGCCAGCTGTGTCAGCCTCTGTTTTTAGATAAGGATACCTTACTCTATCTCCACATCACTGTTTAACTTTGGGGTTCATGAGTCAGATTGAGTTTAGCATAATTCAACACCAAAAGCAGCATGGCACCACTTCTTAGTTCACCACTGATAACTTTGCAAAACAGGGCATTGTTTTACCTCATTCCAGACAGAGCATCCAACAGATCCTACACATCCTATAGATGTGAAGCAATTGAAAAAGAGCAGCTTTCCTTAACTGTAGGCTTTTGAAGTTGCCTGGCAGAAAGGTTGTCCTGTGAGCCTTGAATTTAACATTGATTCTAAATGAGTATTTTTCTGCAAATTGTAATAGAGGTAACACCATATATTTAGCTATTTAATAGACATTTAATAGTATGTATGCAATATGACAACTACAATAGTTTTATCTTAATGGAGGGAGAAAAGCACCCTCTAATCCAATATTTTTGGCTTGCTGTGCCACTGAATGTTCTCATTTGGACACTTTCTGTCATGCTTTTGGAACAGAAATGACATCTATTTCTGCACTGTAGCAAGAACCCAAAAGCACCTAAATATTGAAATAGCCCTACAGGCCAGTCAAGACCTGCTGAGCAGTCAGTGGTCCAAAACCCTGTTCTGGATGGCATGAATTTATAGGTGCAACTCTGCCATTCTCTCTTGCACACTGCTATGACAGGTCATGAGCTAAGGTGTAGCAAAGCTGTGGTAGTGGGAGATTCTTTTCCCCCTAAGTGAGTATAAGCTGCTGCAGGGGCTTGGCAGTTTTCTTTCCAAGGAAGCACTGCATGTGCAGCTGGGTCTGGTGCAGATCAAGACACCTGCTTTCTTTGGAGATTGGACATGAATGGTGAAAGCTCGTGGCTGTTAAAGCCCCCCAGATGCTTTTACAAGGTTTAGGACTGAGCTCCTGCCCAGCTTATTACTGCATTTCAAAATTCTGCATTTTAAAAGTGGATACAGGGATCTTGGCCTGAAGTTCTGTAAACTCATCTCTCCCTACTGTGATGTGATTGCTTTGAGTAAGGTATTTCCAACATGCAGAAGGAAAATACTGAGAGGCTACTGCTGGTTAAATGCTGCACTGGGAGACTTGGGCTGAGACTTGGCAAGTGCTCACTGGGCTGTCTTATTTTGTCATGTGAAGTCAAACGTGGCATTGAGCCAGCAGCTGTTGGAGTATCTATACTTCCAGCCAGGTAAAGTGTGGTAGCTGGAGTGTGTGCCTCACTGGTGTCACCTGAGTTTCACCAGAGTTGTGAGTTGGCTCCTGCTCTGGGCAGTTCTGAGTGACCATCACATCCATCCTGCAGTGAGCACTGTTTTGCCTGACCCAGAGATTTGGCCACGTTGGGATTTCTGAACAGAAAGTCAAATGCAGGAAAAGTGCCAGGGGCACAAACAGGCCTAGGTACAGCACAGTCTCTGCAGTCTCTGTGGATCACTGTCACTCCAGGCCCTTCAGTCACTCCCCATCTTTCCTGTAGGCTCCCTTCAGGTGCAGCACCTGGTGTTTGTAGAACACCTCTCTGGTGTTTTTGACAATTGTCTGTCAAGGAAATGAGTTGAGTTTTCTTGTCAAATCTATAGCCTTTTATATTCAGGCTTCTCTGCTGTAGGATTCATACTCAGAGACTGGTATTTGTGTCTGAGTGCTTCCAGAAAGTGGATGCAGTCCCTGGATGTACAAAGAAAATGCCTATTCATCACCTCTTAGGCAATGGTAGCAGGGCAGGTGAAGGTCAGGCCAGACTGGCCTGGCAGCCTTTTCAGCAGTTCACCAGTTGAGCTGCTGCCAGGGTGAGCCCAGTCTCTAAATCTCCCTTGCATGCCTCAAGGTGTGCATCATGAGATTTGTGCTTGTTTGAAGGACAGGACTGAGCTTGTCTCCTGTACAGTGAGTGCCAGCTGCTGTTCTCTTTGCTGCACATTGGTGACTTCAGGAGGTTCTGGAGTAATACAGACATGCTGGGTAGAGAAGGCACAAAAGAGTGTTTTCCTTTCAGACATGGGAACTGGTAAAAAAATGTGGCTTGTCTCTCACTGCCTGTGTTCCCTTCAACCCAGGGAGGCTGTATGGAGCTGATGACTTCTTGCCTGTGTTGACATATGTGCTAGCCCAGTGTGATATGCTGGAGCTGGATACCGAAATCGAATACATGATGGAGCTGTTGGATCCATCCTTGCTGCATGGAGAAGGTAATTATTTATTTTTACTAGAACTGCCTGAAGGACTAGTGAGGGGGTGTTCTGTTTGAGTAAGAATCCTGTTAAAGGGAGACCGAATCACAGTGATGCTGATAGTGTAACAAGAGAATGTCATCATCATTTCCACTGCTGGGCAGCTTGCAGAGCACAAACCCCAGTGGATGGAAAATCTGCTGCTGTGTGATGCTTTGTGAGCAAATACATTGTTTCCAATCAGTTTTGACTCAGCAGGCAAACACATGCACTGTGCAGGTGCCCAATGGCCTGAGCCTTTTGTGCCTGAAAATTTCCTGAGGGGATTTCTGGGGCAGCAGCACTCAGCAAATTGTGAGGCACATAATAAGACTTGGGTTATGTGCTTTGTGAAGACCTCCGGGGGACTTCTTTGCACCTTTGCAGAAGTGCTTTTGAGAATGTTGCCCCCTTTTAATGATCTTTCCTTCTTCCCAGCATTTGCTTCTCACAAAGTGTTTTTATGAGCTCTAGCAGTATGTTTCCTGAGGCATTTCTTGAATGAGGGCTAAAGTCTGCTGGAGGCAAGGAAATCTGCCTCTGCTGTTTTCATGGCAGTATTTTTAATAAAGAAGTTTTCTGCAAGGCCCTGGTAGGCCCCAGAATCTAAAAGGTTTATGAGGAGGTTTGAAGGCTCTTGCAGCCAAGCTTAATTGTGTGTTTAGGTATATATGTGTGTTTCCTGTTCCTGCTGTATCCTGGCATTCTGAAATTGCTTTTCATGTACCCACTTGCATGCTGTTATGCCTGGGAGAATTCATGCCATTATTCCTTCTGTTTCTTGGGCCTGTCATTGGCACTAGCTCAGCTCTGCTGTGCAGAAAAATTTGTGTAGGGCTTTGGGGTTGTGCATTTCTACTGTAATGTATTGTCCAGTTTGTCTAATGGGTCTTGCATGAATTTTATGTGTTCATCTTGTTGCAAAGCTAAAGGCTGAGAGGGAATGCTGTCAGTAATACAAAAAATACTACTGTGGGCATCCAATGCATCTCTGAATGCCTCTGAATAGACTCTGCTCTTAGCTGAGCACTCCCACCCAAATAGTTGACTTTAAAAAGAAAAGACAGCTTGTCTTTTGTTTCTCCTGGTTGCTGCAGACTGTTGCCTCCTGTTGAGACTCTTTTACTTTGTGATCCACAGCTTCTTTTGTACATTGGCAACTCTGTTGTGGCTTTAATTTGTTCTCTACTCATGCAATAAATGGGGAGTGTGCAGGACTGTACACACCATCTCCTGAATTAGTTGGACATTCTGGGGAATGCTAAGAAGTTGTTGTTTTAAAAATAAAGGCAAGTCTTTGAGAGGATTCCAGAGTACAAGTCTCACACTCAGTTGTTGCTTTATTGCCACTGAGGGTGGTTGCTTTTCAGCTGATGAACAGGGTTAGATTGTTTTTTACTTTGTTTCAACAGCCATGTTTATTTCATCCGCTTCTGAAGCCCTGGGAAGAAACCAAAACACTGTTAGAAAATTGTTTAGAATAAAGCTGGTGTTCAAGATTGGATGAGTAAATACTCAGGAGTAAAGGAGTTACAAGAGTTGTTGGTTTTCCTAGCTTTTACAGAGATGGGGCAACTGAGAGGAGTTTTAAAAGATTTTATTTTATTCTCTTATCAGTCATTTAAGGAAACAGCTTTCCTCAGCAGGAGTGGACCCAAAGCTCTGCTGTGTAACGTGGAGCACATGGAACCCCTGCATGTCTCTGAGCAGCTGAGAACACACCCTCCAGTGTTGTGCAGGCCAGGAAGGGTTTTCCTTTTGTGTGTAAATATCCTGGCAACTTGCATATCTATGTGTGTGGCTGGGTGCCTCTCTGTGTGTATGTATATATACCTCAAAGAAAACTGCCTGCGCTTGTGACTGTGACCACTCTGAGAAGTTCTTCCCTTGCTGTCCTTCACAGGGGGCTATTACTTGACCAGTGCTTATGGAGCACTTTCACTGATCAAGAACTTCCAGGAGGAACAAGCTGCCCAGCTGCTCAGCTCAGAGGCCAGAGACACTCTCCGGCAGTGGCACAAGAGGAGGACGACAAACAGGACAATACCTTCAGTTGATGATTTTCAGGTAGAGCTTCGGGCTGAAATAGAAAATGGGATGATTGTGTTGCTGGAAATACCCATTTGAGAGGTATCATTTGTAGCAAACTCCCTTGGTGCCACAAGTGGAGTGAAACAGTGCTGAGATTACAGATGGCAAATTTGCCTCTTTGAAGTCTTTGCACTCACTTTTTATCAAACACTTTCATTATGATGGTCTGAAGAAAACACTAAATAATAGACCTTTCTTACCTTCCTTTTTAAGTCATGTGAAGCGAGGACAAACTGCATTGTATCTTAGATTCAGCTGTTTTGCACACTTTATTGTTCAAAAAATCAAATCCAGATTTCCAGGGGTATAAATCAGCCCAGCTGCCCAGTAGCCAGTGGTGGCTAAAGCAGGTAGCAGAGGTGGGAGAAATGTTCCCCAACAGTTGTGAAGTTTAAGCAGGCAGCAGAGTTCTGTGATATGGATGTCCTCACATTTTTCTTTTTTGTCTTTTTTTTTCTTTTTTGTCCCCTGTATTTTGTACTGCTCTTCCAGAGCAGGGCAGTACCTTCAGCTGGAGAATAACAAAGCAGTGGTTATCACTTCATCTTCTGAGCCCAGGCCTGCATCTCTTCCATCTGCTTTGGACTAACTGTTAAGGTGCAGCAGTTTGTGAGCTGAAAGAGGGGAGGGAGTTGGAATTGGGAAGAGAGGATTTACTCCTTGGAGTTCAGCTGTCTGCAGTTAGGAAGAGGAGAAGCCATTACGAGCAATTCCAGTGCCCAGAGCCTGTCCATCTCCCTGGGATCCACGTTCTGTTCTCCTGGCCTGTACTTAGGTGTCAGATTCCAGCAGCTGGAGTCTGTTCTTTCTGCCAAAGCTCTGCACTTTCCATAGGAGCATCCAGCACCTTTATTTCTGCTTGGTGAGGAAATGACAGAAGATTCTTTCTGCAGGATTTGGTAGGAAGTTCCATCTTCTCTTTCTCTGCAGATGAACTTGGTCCAGGCTCAGTGTTCACTTGGATGCAGGAAGATTCAGGGGGCAGGGAAGACCTGGCAGTGAGTGTGTCCAGTGCTTCTCCTGCTGTTGTCTCTTTCAAAAGAGAGCCTGGAATTAGTTGATCCCACCACTCACAGGATGTGCTTGGCACAAATGCAAGTGTTTTGCTGTCTACTCAGAATGGCGATTTTCTCTCTTCTCTCTCTGAGTCTTGCAGTCCTGAAATGGAGCACCTTGCCTACAACCAGCATGGAACATATCTGCAGCTCCAGTCATCTTCCTCCCAGGGAATCAGGGTGTGGTCATGGCATTTCTGTGCTGCAGTCTCACAGCCTTGCTGGCTCTTGGGCCCTGGAGGCTGTTTTTCCACCTTCCCTAAATGGAAAGAAAAGCAAAAACCCCAGTACTTTGATGATGATGAAATACAGCTTTCTGGGCATCTGTAAAAAAAACTTCAGCCTTTCCTTTTCCGTCCAGCAGTCCTGTCCATCTAAAAACTCACGCTTTTCAAAGCAGGTCTTGTGTGTGATAGCTTAATTAAAAATTAAATCTAGTGTGTTTTGCCCTATTTAGGGCTGTGTTTTTTCTACAAGTTCTTCAAACCAGGTTAAAAAAATGGCTTAGTTCTGTTCAGTCAGGGTTCAGTCCCATTTTTTAAAACCTATTGCAGAGTTTAGTGTTCAGTCTTCGTGGTATTAAGAAATACTTAATTAGACAAGAGTGCTCTTTGGAACTTAAGTCATTGGAAGGTTCTTCTCAGCTGTTAAAACAGATTGTTTCTGTGAGAGGTAAACTTCTACCATTGGGATTTTCAATGCTTAATTTATTCAGCTTACAAACCACGGGTGCCAGCCCAGTCAATAAACAACTCTTTCTCCTTTTAATTTTTTCCACCTCCTTCAATCTCACTGCATTTTAGTCTTTAATTCCAGATTTTTTTTCTTTTAAAACTGTCTCTGGTTTAGAGACAATTTTAGCAGAAAACACTCTGGAATTAACATTTTCTCTAAAGAAAATGGGTTTGGGCACTCCCTTGCCATCAATATGAAAGGAATTTCTTGGATGAAAGTGACAAAAACAATTTATTTCTCAAACAAAGTGCCCACAGGGCAGGCAGGGGAAAAGTAATAACTGTTATGTATTGAAGCTCCTCGCTGCTGGTTGATTTAGAGCTCCCTCTTTAGCTGGCCTGGCCTCCCCGAGGTCCAGAGTGGGGATGCAGCATTCAGCTCCCACCAGTGGTCTGGTTGTCAGACCAAAGCTGAGCCAAGCAGTTCCAGAGGAAGCCACAGAAGTCACTGGAGGATTGCTGTTGCAGTCCCAGGAAAACCTCTTGCCTCGGCTAATAAAACCAAGGTAGCCCAAAGCAGAAATGTGACTCCCTCCACGCCGCAAAGCCAAGCACACGGGGAGTGAGTGCCTGAACACAACCTGTGCCAGAGTTCCCCCAGCTCACAGCCCTCCCCTGGACCCAGCCTAAAGCTCCAGGACTCATTTCTGGGCATAAAGCAGACCATGGGGGAATACAGTATTACCATAAAATCACCCCAAGACAAAAACAAACAGGAAGCAGATGAAACTGCATTTCCATGTGGGGCCTGTTTAGAATGTATCCGTGGGCGTGTGTCAGTTTCTACAGGAGAAGACATCCAGCTTTTGCCTCAAGATCAGGTGCATTTACTTGAATGGTGCAGAGTAAATTTTCTTTCTGAATCCCTGTAAAGCTGTCCTGTGAAGCTGGGTTAGGCCAGGCTTGGACACCGGGCTGCAGCTCACGGGATGGCCATAATGTCCGGGAATCACCAGAGTGTGTTTCACAGCTGGAGCAGGGAGAGGCTTGCTTTTTGTTGCTGACTTTTCAGTTTTCAGAGGCTAAGGACTTTTTGACTTCCTGATGTCTGCTTTCTTGTTCACAGAACTACCTTCGTGTTGCATTCCAGGAGGTTAACAGCGGCTGTACAGGAAAGACTTTGCTAGTAAGGCCATACATCACTACCGAAGATGTCTGTCAGCTTTGTGCTGAGAAGTTTAAAGTGGCAAATCCAGAAGAATACAGGCTGTTTCTTTTTGTTGATGACACCTGGCAACAACTGACAGAGGATACCTACCCTCAGAAAATCAAGGCAGAGTTGCACAGCCGTCCGCAGCCCCAGGTCTTCCACTTTGTCTATAAGCGCCTTAACAGCGACCCATATGGGGCCATTCTTCAGAACAGCCACGACTCGGCTGCTTAGAACCAGCAACCTGTCATTTTTATATCTGTTCCTTGGTAATTGTTACAAACATCTTTGTTGGCTGCCTTCCTTAGGAGCTAAAACGTGTCTTAAACCTAAAGTGCCTGGTGAAACACGTGCTGACGTTTCTGATGTCGCTTACAGGACCCAGGGGCACTGTGCACGTGGCCAGCTATGCAGAATATTCCACCAGCATGTCTTGAGGAGACAGTCCATGAGCCTGCATTTCTTGTACCATGGGCTCTTTTGCAGCATATTCTACTGTGGCCTTTCACAGGTCTTGGCTGTAGTGTGCAAAATATGATTTTCTTCCACTCCTTGTTTCCCCAGCTGTCACTTGCATTTGAATCCGTGTGCGAGACGAGTGCGTCCGTGGACTGGGGTGAGCTCAGTTCTGCCAGCAGGAGTTTGACAAGACTGTCCGATGCAGGGCATCAGTTCACTCAGCATTACCTGGATGGTTGCATCCTTGTCTAATTTTTTTTTGATTACAGAAAATCATCATGTTTATATATATATATATATATATATATATATAAAATAGATATTTTATAGCAGTTGCAGGTAAACTGTCAGGGTTGGTTTTTGAAATATTTTTTTAACTAAAATATTCTATAATTATGCATGTGATTTTTAACATTTAATACACAAGAATAAATCTCTTGCTGGTTTTAGAGTCTTGCATTGATAGTCTGTGTGGTTTCTCTTCTTTACCTGTTCCAGGAGAGTTCTTAGGAAACCTCTGTACCCTTGAGGCAGTTTTGCTGTCTGTTCTCAATTGTCTTCTGAAAATCAGACCATTTTATAAACTGTGCTGTGCAAAACACGTCCTAGCATCTCATCACATTCATTCTGAGGACATTGTGTGTTTGGTCCTCTGCCTTTTCCTCTGTCCTTCTCCATGCCTCACTCCTGTTCCTCTTTTATTCTGTGTGGTGCTTTCCATGCCCATGTTTCTCACTGGATGCTTGTGAACCATTCCCTGTCCCTGTTCTTTTTTAATCCCTGTCTGTAATGCTGCCCATTGCAGTTTGTTTTTTTGTTTTTTTTTTTTGGTTGGTTGGTTTTTGTTTTGTTTTGGGGTGGTTCTTTTGGATGCTTTTGTTTTGGTTTGGTTTTTTGGTGTTTTTGTTTGGTTGGTTGGTTGGTTTTTGCCTTACTTGTATTCCCTTTTTATTCTTGGTGGCTCTGTGGTGCTCCTGTGTGCCATTGTTTCTCTACTGGATCTTTGTATCATGATCCCAGTCCCCATTCTTTTTTAATCCCTCTCTATCATGCTGCCCATCCCAAGGTGTGTTGTTGTTGTTTTGGTTGTTTTTTCAATTTCATTCTGCACCTCATTCTTACTTTTCTTCCTGTGTTCTCTCTGCTGCCCCTCCCTCTTTCTGCCTCTCTCCTGTGACTGTGGGGCTGGGGAGGAAATTCTGGGGGTTCCCCCCATTCATGTTGCAGCAATGTCCTTTTTTTGGGGGGGGGGATGTACACGTGGAAAGGGCTTGAATAAAGCACCACGCTGCTGTCCAGGGCAGTTTGACTTGTTCTGTGCCTTCTTTGGGGGTGAGGAAGGAAGGTTGAGGGAGAGAGGGTAGAGAGTTGGGGGCTCTGATGCCATTTGGGGCACCCCAGTGTCCCTAGGAGGGAGAGCCAGGCTGTAGCCATGATATATTCTGAAAAATCCTCTCCTTAGGATTTTTTTCTCCTGAGAAGCTGAGAGGCCTCAAGAACAAAATGTAAACAATGGTTATCTGCTGCTGTGGAATGCAACAGGTGAATCTGTGATTGGTCTCATGTGGTTGTTTCTAATTAATGGCCAATCACAGTCAGCTGGCTTGGACTCTCTGTCCGAGACACAAGCCTTTGTTATCATTCCTTCTTTTTCTATTCTTAGCTGGCCTTCTGATGAAATCCTTTCTTCTATTCTTTTAGTATAGTTTTAATATATCATAAAATAATAAATCAAGCCTTCTGAAACATGGAGTCAGATCCTCATCTCTTCCCTCATCTTCAGACCCTGTGAACACGGTCACACCAGGCTGTGATGGAGGAGCAGGTGAGCAGGGAATGAGGGGGATCATGCTGGGTTACCCTCCCCCAGAGGAACCAAAAGCTGCCAGAAAATTCACAGGGAGGGTGTAGGTATTGGCAAAGAATATGGATTTATCTCTAAAACCACTTGGAAAGAATTATTTGGAAAGAATCTCTCTAGCCACTCTATTGTATACAGGAATGTAGGAAACTCTGATTAGGAATGGGTAGTAGTTTGAAACCAATGTTATAACGTTTTTACCTAGGAATGAACCAATCAAGTGCCCTGTGAAAAATGCCAATCACTTGTTTTTAAAATTTTAAAAGTTTAATAGTAATAATAAAATGGTTATAAAAATAGTAATACAATAAGAGTAATAATAATTTGGACAAATTGAATTAGGACAATATGAGACAATAGAGACAAAGAGTTACGCATGTCCGGGTACCTTTTTCTGGGCAGCATAAGCCTGAAATAGGACTCACGTTAACAGAGGATTAACCCTTAAAAGCCATAGCCTGTTGCATATTCATACACCTCATACATGATGCATGAATTCCATTCAAATACAGGATTCTGTCTGGTCAGTGTCAGCTTCTTCCTCTGAATCCTAACAGCTTCTTTGAGGCAGGAAGAAGTTGCTTTCTTCTGATAAGAGGGCAATAAATTCTTTTTCTCTTAAAGATTTAGGTGTCCTATGGTTGCTCTCTCAGTGCCAGTCCTTTCTTTAAAAAAGTATCCTACGTAGCATAGTTTCTATTTTAACATTTTTTTATAACCTGAAACTGTATTAACACAGTACTTAAGAGAATTAATACAGCATTACTTTCTAACACAACACATATAATATTCATTTCAAATTTGCAAACGAGCCGACTGGACAAACGCCTGAGTGAGGAGCGGGGGATGCCTAAGGTACCACAACATAGATGGTGGCTCGGCCGGGAGTGGCTTCTGCCAGTACCAAAGATTGTGGCGAGGAAATCCAGGAGAAATGGCTGCTGGCATCCTGAGCTTGCCAGGCAGGCTTTGTACTTGATTGCAAGGCAGTTTTTCTGCCTCTGCAGGGGGTGGAAACTGGAAAGGGGAGAGAAAAAAAAGTCACTTTTATGCCACACCTGAGATGGCGGCCCAGCGCGGCACTCACTTGCCCTTCCAATGATGGCGGCAGTCCGCATGTGCGCCTTGGGTAGGGAGAAAAAAGGGCGGTAAAGCAAATACCCCGCTCCGTCTGATCGGAAAGTGCTTTCTCCTGGGTCTGGGCGGCATTGAGCTTAACTTCCCTTTTCTCCTCTCTTTCAGGACAGGGAGAACCACTGAACTTGTCCTGGCCTTACCAAGAGCTTTGGTGTTTGAGTTGCCAAACCCAAACTGGTCCTGATGATGGAGGACTTAAGAAATACTCAATCCAACTAAATGCTTGAAAAAGGGAGATGGTTTGGTTATAAAAGTATTTCTGCCTGAGACTGGGAAGAGATAAACCCCCTAGTTCTGCACAACAGCACAAGGATTTTTTAATTCTTTGCCTTTTTTTTCCCCTTCCTTTGAATGGGTTTGTTTGTTTCCCCTTGGAGACTGCACACATAATAGGCAGATTTTTCAATTAAGCCATTTTCCCCACTTTTAGTCTTCAGTGGAGCCCAGGTGCCAATTGTTTGCTGCTTGGTTTCTGCCTTCCCTTTCCTGCCTACAGCTTAACCCCTTTCTCTCCTTCCTGCTTTTTGGCCATCACTGGTCATGCAGATGATGCTGATGCAGATGGCTGATAAATAATTACCAAACAGCTTGGGAATGGTCTGTATCAGGTATTAATGACATTAAAAATGCAGTATATGGACCATCCACCGATGAATTTAGCAACAGGTGGATAGTAACTAATCTTTCCTTTGAAGCCCTCTTCAAAGCATATTTACTTATAAAGTGAAAGCATTTGGTTTTTATTTAAAAAAAAATACTACAAATTACCAACAGCCAGCTTAAGTGAGCATGGAAGACTGACAAAGACAGTTGTAATGTTGTAATGTTTTTTCTTTTAAATCCCTCACGACCCCATCACGTCCTGGAGAGGCAGCTCAGTGAGTTTCAGCCCACAGCTACCATCCTGTGCTCATGGAGAGCAACTTCTCCAGCTGCCCCAACCTCAGGAAAGCACAGGAGAGGGCTCTGCACAGATCAGGGATTAAGCTAGACCCAGGCTGGGCTCAGTTCAGTCACCATGGCACTGTTAGAAGCCTCAGACCCTTTTTCTATCAGATTGTGGCTGTCGTGCAGCCACTGCATTGCTGTCAATGTGCTCCCCTGCAGCCTAGCCTGACATGGTGCTTGGGGTTCTGCCTCATGTCTTAAACATCAAACCAGAAGATAAACCAACAGATAAAACCCCTGCCCTGCCATGTCCCTCACTCTGCACCACTGCTATGAGAGGAGGGTAAAAGACCCAGTCAGTTTTAACTCTGTAAAGAAGCTACAGAGCAGTGATGAGTGCCTGAGTCACATCCCCTGCAGCCATCAGGGGAGTGAGGGCAGGGAAAAGGGCAGAGAAAGGGAAATAAAAAACCAACAGAACCACCAAGACTGGAGGATGTGAGGATGAATCCAAAACTATGCTCTCCAAGAGCTGAAAGAACACTTCTAAGAACAAAACATC